TTTTTAATGAGAGATGGGATGGATGGCAGAGGGTAAGGTGTTCAAAGGAGGGGAAATGAGCCAGTGGAATAGGGGGATTGGGCAAGTGACGCCCTGGAGATGAGGGCCACACCACCGCCATGACGGTTGGGGTGTAGGGCATGGTGGTAGGTATAGCCGGGTGGTGTGGCCTCAGTGAGGGAGAAGGTGTCACCTGGGGTAATCTAGGTTTCCGTGAGGGCCATAATATCAATCGAGGATGAGATCATTGACGGCCAGGGTCTTATTGAAGATGGAGCGGACGTTTTGAAGGCCAATGCGGAGTGGACAGTTGGCAGGGGGATGTGTGGGATAGGAGGGGGTAGTGGATTGGTTGGCAAGGAGGGTGGGGATGTGGATGAGGGAGGAGAGGTTGGCCCCCGGGGTCTGGGTCCAGGGTGGCTTACGGCGGTAGTGGGGAATGGGGCAGTCGGTGTGACTGCTGCTGGATGTCGTCGATGTCTCAAAGTACTTCATAAGGCAAACTGTATCCTATGTATTTTGTGGACGAAACGCAGCAGCCAGTTTGCAGACAGTAATGTCCCACAAACAGCCAAGTTTATTTGAGGGGTTTGTTGACCAGGACACAAGGAGAAACTCCCTTCGCTTTTCGAATAGTGCCATGGGATCTTTAGGCAGACAAAACTTTGGTTTAACGTATTATCTGAAGGGCGGCACCTCCGAAAATTCAGCACTCCCCCAGCACTGCATTAGAGTATCAGCTTAGACAGTGTGATTACAAGTCCCGGAATAGGGCTTAAACCTACAACCTTCTGACTCCACGGCAAGTGTGCTTCCACTGCACCAGGCTGATACATACCCTATGACATGATAAGGCATTATACCAGATGTAAAGATTATTATAGCTGTGCATCCTTTCAATTGATAAACTTATAAAAGGAGACTTTGAATGTATAGTTATGGGGTCTATCACATCACAATTACCAGTGTTAGCAATCAATCAATGGGGAATGGTCTCCAGTGGACATACACTTCTATCCCCATGCTGGAAATTGCATGTGTGGCCATGAGAGGACAGGATGGAACTCAGCGGTGATGCTATTTAGGATGAGTAGCCTTTTAACACTCATATCTATGCTCACACATAAAGAATGGCCTCCAGAACAAGACACTAGAGGAGGACAGCCATTGAGTTTCACCCGCAAACCCCTCCTCCCCCCCCCCCTCCCCAGCAAGAGACAGAACTTCCAGGAGAACAAGGCAGAAACTAGTAATAAAAAGAAAAATTGAGTTGGCCAAATCCCACAGAGAGATTAAACCCTTCTCGTTGCTCTCAATGATGAAATATTTCAGCCCCTGTTGAATGACCGACACTTCATTCTGGGATTGCTAACAACCACATTGAATGAGAAGATGAAAGAATTAGACAGCTGCTTGATATTCTTTGCTGTTTCTCTTCCTATCCTCCCCGGACGGATCCTGATCGTCGAAAGCAATTCCTTATTTGGCTCTGGCTGCCCAGAATCTGTGAGGAATAACCTCGTGGCTGATGTCCAGCAACTCGCCCTCGGTGCAGAATAAAAACGGGAGAAATTGGCCATTTCTCTCAAACACAGGCATCCTGCGGCATAATGAGGCCCAATACAGGCAATTAAACAGTGCAAGATAACTGATATCTTGCCCCAAGTGAGCAACCTCGAAATTCCATTACAACTCCTCTCGCTCAGGAGCTTCTCATGCTAGTTTACAAGTGGTCCATTAAATGGTATCCTATCCTCAGAGCTCAGCAATCTGCTAATAACCCTGAATACCAGCTGGTGTCAGACTGGTGCTCGCTGGAACTGTGAACATCAGCCACTGAGAAAAGGGAGCAGGTAAACTGTCAACTATATGAGTTGACTAAAAGCCACCATGAAATTAAAGCTAGAAATTACCATAATAATAATAATAATAATAATAATAATCCTTGCATTTGATATAGCGTTTTTCACGTTGGGAGGACATCCTAAAGCGCTTCACAGAACACACTGTAAAATGAATTGACTGTATATTTGTGGGCGAACGCGGCAGCCAATTGCGCACAGCAATGTCCCACAAACAGTCGTGGATTGAAAATGACCAATTTTATTATTGTTTTTTGTTTTCGAGGGATTATTATTAGGCTCTGTGTGGAGTAAGGAAACTTGCCCAAGGTTTCGCCCTCTGCCTGGAATTGAACTCAGGTCTCTCACTTGCAAAGCGAGTGCTCTAACCACTGAGCTACAGGACTCTAATATATTTGATAGAGAACATATTCTCTATTATATATTGAAGCTGTGGTACAGTGCATACTGGATACAGCAAGTGGAGACAATGCTGTTTATTCAATTTAATCTAATCTCATAATAATAATCCTTGTATTTGATATAGCGCCTTACCATGTCTTCAAGACTTCTCAAAGCGCTTCTAAATTTCAATGTGTGAGGCGGAGGTTATTACGGAATCCTGTCGGGATGCAATCTATATTTTAAAATAACTGGTTTGCTTATAATAGCCCACTGGGGCTTACTAATGTGAAATGTCTCACATAATAATAGACTGGGCATTATTGGAGTGCAATGGTTTATATGATAATGCATAGAGTTTTATTGCAGAGTAATGGTATATGATAACGCACCTGGGATTATTGTTGTGAAATGATTGACTCAATAATGCCTGGGTGTTATCGGAGTATAATGGCTCTCTTAATGTTGCACTGGACATTATTAGAGTGTAAAAATTTTATGATAATGCTCTGGGTGTTACTGGAATGAAATGATTCATAATATTTCATTGAATGTTATTGAAGTGGAATATCCACTACCCATCAGATCAATCTTAAGACTCTCATTTTGACTGCAATGTTGTCCTCAACTCCCACCGTGTTCGATTGGGGGAGTTGAGGACAAATTTGAAAGGTGCTGCATCAATACAAATTGATGCTATTGTTGTCATGGTTTATATAACACTTCGCAAAATAAAGTACCATGTGGCACCTTTGGTATTAGGGTGAGTTAATGAGAGTTTGTTTCCCACCGAGAATATCTTGTTGCTTGTGCATGAAGCATCATCGAAAATGGCCTTTATATATTCTGTGGTTTTAGGAATACTAAATCTCAAGCAATCTGTACACTAGATATCTGAACTTATGGACTGAATTTCACAGGGTGCAGAATGCCACCCTGAACAAACCTGAGGTCAGCATACACATACACAAATATTGCACATGATTGTACAAAAATTCACCACCATGTGCATCCTAACCTGCACAAGCCCTGCACATAGACACCAGCGAGTTGCGGAAACACACCACACATATGAACACACGTGTAGGTTAGCCACCGCCCATGCATGAAAAAGATGAAACTGAGGCATGGACAAGGAAAGATTTTGCCCTTTTAAGGCTCTCTTTCCCTTTTCAAGCAAGACACCTTAATAATATCTAATAATAATTATCCTTGCATTTGAAATAGGGCCTTATCACGTCTTCGAGAACTTTCAAAAGGCTTCACAAAATATATTGTAAAGTGAATTGATTGCATATTTTGTGGGCATAATGCGGCAGCCAATTGCACACAGCAGTGTCCCACAAACGGTGATGGATTGAGTGAACAAATTATTCTTTTTTTTTTAAATTTTTTTGAAAGGATTATTGCCCCCAGAAAAGAGATTCGCCAATCGACTAACAACTGGATTACTACTTACTGCTAACCACTAAGCTACAGGATTCCACCTTTGAGGCTGACTAACCCGCACTCGGCTCTTGACCCCCACCTGCGCGCTCACAGCGGGCTCTAACAATCCACTGGTTGGCAGCACGCTTTGGAACGAGAAGGTCACGACACAAACTCGTCTGGCAGAGAATCAGCTCGACATTTACAGAGTTTGCCTCTCCGTGCTGCTGATTATACTCACTGACGCTGCCCAATTGCTGCCCTAATGAAAAAATGTAATTAGTTGCTCGGAACCAGAATATTGACATGGAATGTTGGTCTTTCTCACTCGGGAGATTGGGAGCTCAATGACGATGTAGTTTCAGCATTTACCAGTCAAGAAAAAGGACTGCATAAATGTTACCACAATGAGTGACAATTACCCTTCTGAATAAACAGCAACTCCCCAGTTATCTGCCACAGAGAGTAACTCTCACTTTGCTGAATAAATTGCTGTTCTCCATGATTACAGAATATCCTGCTCTGATTCTGCTGGTCAGGTGGTTAAGATATTCCTTCCCAGTTGGGCTTTGGGTAAAGGCTGCATTAGGAAAGTGCTTTAATGCAGCCTTGGGATGTCCTCCTGACGTTCTCTCTTGCTGCTGATTATATTCCCTGACAATTGCTCCTTAATGAGAAAATATAATTAGTTTCTAGAAACCAGCATACTGACACGGGATATTGGGCCTTTCAGCACCTTGGGACGTCCTCCCAATGTGAAAGGCTGTGTAAGTGTAATTTGCTGTTGGAAAGGACTGGCTCTCTGCCCTGCACCACTATTCTCCCTCCTCATTATGTGACCCTCTGGATAAAGTGACCTCTTATTGGAGGTGATAAGAAGGAAGGGGATTGAGGGAATCTCAGAGCTTGGTGGGAAGCCTGGCTGGTGTGACAGACTCCATTTGGAGCACTGTGGATCATCAAGGACAGGATCCATTTAGAGTATCAAGTAAATTTAGTGCCAACACTGAGGGTCAGATCATAGGCAGGTTAATCTGTAGGAGGAAAGGTTTGTAGAGAGACCCGTTTATTCCAACATCATGTTCCTCTGCAGCTTAGACAGGAAGGACACCACTGTCTTACAAAAGTCCATGTCCTCTCGACCATTTCTCCAGAGCTCAGAATAAATCAGAGAGAAATGTTCCTGAACAGATGTGCATCAGGTTATTCAGGACGTTCTTTGCTTATTCTGGATGTTTCAGTGAAACTCAGATAACACACCGGCAAATGCTAACCTCAGGCCCAAAGCCCTTTCATTGCCCTGACGCTTCTCACTTTCCTCTCCACCAGGTGCACGTTGGAACCACACCTCAGGACCAAAGAATTGTGGGATATGTCTCCTGTACTCACCTTCAAGCGTTGGCTGGTGAGTAGTTAGTTACCTTCACATTCCCGGTGATTGTGTGCAGCAAATAAATAGGCTGACAGTCTCCTCTCCCTCACACTGATAGTCTTGCTCTGCCACTTTAGCGTGAAGTGGAGTCTCCCTGGGGCAGTTAGACACATCGCTGCACAGTGAGTGATGCCAGGCAGAAAGGCTGAGGCGAAATACCGCACCATTGATGTGGCTCCTGCTGCCGGCTGCACACATACTGCACTGCACATTACCAGGATTTTTAGAAATATTTTTCTACTTCTTCCAAATACTAACACACAGACTAACCTTTGCTCCTCATTTGTGATCACATTGGTCTATTCTTGACGGCAGCCCAAATGAGTGAGATGAAACAAAAATATTCCACATGTGCAGGTACTCGGACAGTATGGTTAGAATGGGAAATCTCCCTAAAATCAGGTAGCATAGATCTCGCTGGCATTAATGACCGCAGTGAGTGAGATATAATAATAGGAGCCTGAGATGATGGTTGTGTGAGGGATGCCACTGACCTTTGTGTTCAGTCTTTTCCATATAACGCCTCGATGCTGGTATACATGATACTACTGTATTTAATTAAGACAATGGCTGACATTTGCCTTTGACTCAGGAGACGCTGCCATCCGCTGTGAACAGATGGACAACCTGCTGGAGTGGCTGGATGCGTTCCACAAATCTACCTCTTCATCAAACGCTGCTGAGCCCGAGGAGCTGGTGGCGTTCGATGTACTGTGTGGGGACCTGAACTTCGACAACTGCTCCTCAGGTGAGCGTCTGTCACAAAGCCACCCGCCTGCACCTCACCCCAGATCAGTGGCTTCACATATTACTGTGAACTTTGAGGGAAATTCCCCACTTGGGTTGTCAGAGGTGAGACTATCTTAAAATAATCAGACCTGGCTAATTAGGGGGTCAGTAAGCTTGTGTTTGAATTGGGAGCTAAACAAAGTTAGGTGCACACTGTTCTATTATTAATAATAATCCTGTTCTATTGTTAGTAACCACCCTGTTCCAAACTAATAACAATCTGGTTCATTATTAGTAATAATCCGGCTCTATTGTTAGTAACATTCCGGCTCCACTGTTAGATATGGGGTTGTTATTGGACATTACTGTCAGGGCAGTAGACTTACAACACCAAAACCAACCATTTGGCCCAACTGATTAATGCACGTGGCTCTCTACCCTTCCTAATCTCCTCTCCCATACCCTCTATTCACTCCCCCCTCATGTATGTTTAGTATGAAATACATTGAAATGTACATTCAGTATGAAACCCCTCTCCTGCGGCTTAGTGTGTTAGTAGATTCTCTATGTGGGGTAGGTAACCTCTGATTGAAGAATGATCAGGCCAGCCTCAGGCGCTCACATAAACAGGAGAAATAATTGAAGTGTGACATTTTGTACTTGACCTTAAATAATTTATACTTTTAAAAATATAGTTCAAGGGGCCGGTGAATGAATTGACCTTTACGGCATGGTAGGGCCAAACATAGAGCTGATGCACATCAGAGAAAGTTTTATCAATAGAGCGCCTGGTGGCCAACACATGATGACAATAAATGTGAAGAGGTCCCAATAAGTGTTGGGAATGATTATAAGTCATTATAATAATTAGTAACAATAATGCTTACACTTGATATAGTGCGTACAATGGGAAAACATCTCGAAACACTTTACAGGAAATTGCTATCGACTGTATTTGTAGGGAAACACAGCGGATACTTTGTGCACAGGAAAGTTCCACAAACAGCCATGAACTGAATGACCAGTTTATCTTGTTGGCCAGAACTTCTCTCTTTTCACATAGCAATATGGGATCTTTAACATCTACCTACACAGGCAAACAGTTTAGAATACAACAACAACAACAAGATTACATTTGTATAGCACCTTTCACGTCTGGAGGACATCCCAAGGCGCTGGACAGTGCAGCATTTCAGACCCGAGCTGGGGTCAGTGGGGGGAGAAGGGAGAGGAGGGAAAGGGGGGTGGCCGATGGCATGGTCGAAGAGGAGTGTCTTGAGGCAGGACTTAAGGAGGCTAAGGAGGGGGCGAGGCAGAGGATTGGGGGATGGAATTCCAGAGGTTGGGGGCAGAGTGGCTAAAAGCTCTCCCATAATACTTTAGAATATACAGCACAGAAACCGGCCATTCGGCCCAACTGGTCTATGCCAGTGTTTATGCTCTACATGAGCCTCCTCCTGCCCTTCCTCAACTAAGCCTTCAAACATAATCTTCTATTCCTTTCTCCCTCATGTACCTGTTTAGCTTTCCCTTAAATACATCTGTGCTATTTGCCTCAACAGCTCCTTGTGGTCGCATGTTCCACATTCCCACTGCTCTCTGTGTGAAGAAATTTCTTCTAACTTCCCTATTTGATGTATTTGTGACTATTTTATATTGATGGCCTCTGGTTTTGGTCTCCCCCACAAGTTGAAACATCTTCCCTATGTCTACCCTATCAAACCCTGCCATAATTTTAAAGACCTCTATCAGGTCATCCCTTACCCTCCTCTTTTCAAGAGAAAAGAGTCCAAGCTGTTCAACCTTTCCTGATAGGTAGACCCTCTCAGTTCTCCGATCATCCTTGTGAATCTTCTTTGTGAATCTCCAATCCCTGTACATCCCTTCTATAATGTGGGGACCAGAACTGCACCCAGTATTCTAACCTTTACCCCTACTCTGTTTTCTGTTTTGTAGCCAGTTTGCTATCCATTCCGCTATTTTTCCCCTGAATCTACGTGCTCTGACCTTATTCATTAATCTATTATGTGGTACCTTATCAAACACCTTTTAGAAATCTAAATATATTATATCTACCGCATTACCCTTGTCTGTTCTTTCTGTTACCCCTTCAAAGAATTCAATCAGGTTGGTCAAGCATGACTTTGCTTTTTGAAATCTGTGTCGACTATTCTTTATTATGTTTTCCATTTCCAGATGTTTTTCTATTATCTCCTTCAGTAAGGATTCCGTTATCTTTCCTACTACTGATCTTAAGCTGACAGGTCTATAGTTCCTTGGGCTTGTTCTATCTCCCTTTGTAAATTATAGGTATAACATTAGTTATCCTCAAGTCCTTTTTTCCAGTCCTACTCCCTTTTCCAATGAGTTATTATATATGTGGAATAGAACCTCTGCTATCTCTTCCCTCGATTCTTTTAATATACGCGGATGCAATCCATCAGGACCAGGGGTTTTATCTTCTCCTGAGTTTCTTTAGTTTTTTGATTATATCTCCCCTTTGTATCTTAAATGTATTTATATTATTTTTGATCTTCTAGTTAGACCTCAGTTTAATTTATCATCTAGAGGATGGCACTTCAAACATTCCAGTGCTCATCAGCATTGTATTGAAATGTGAGCCTGGCCATTGACCTCAGGGCCCCAAATTGGCTCTGGTCTAAGGTCGAGAGATGTGTGGTTTGGGTGGGTGTTCTAATTCAAGCCTTGCTAGTTCATGTTGAGAAATGTATGCAGAGCCTCCCCGGTCAGCAGTTTGGAATCAGAACGAGCGACAGGAATAAACGTGAAGAAATCCCACAGTTTGGGAAATGGACGTTATATTCAGCTGTCAGTGTCCAAAGTGCCTGCACTGAGAGAGTGCATTGAAATGTGGTTCTGCCGAGTGTCGCGGTCACATCACACGGATCAGGACTGATCCACACCCACATGCTGTTTCTCATGTCGTTGTGGTGGAGCCTGGTGACACCCGCCTCCCGCTGGTAATGGGCGCACATTACACCCAACATTACACCTACACCCAATTGCATTGTCACATTTAAGGATTTCCTACAGTGGAGCGGAACAGGATAAATCCCAGCCCATCCCATGGTTGCCAGGGTGACTTTCACTCCCTGTGTCAATCCTACAATGGCAGATAAATCTCACAAGGCAAGGGGTGGAGAGGAAAGCACAAGAGAAAATGATTGCAAACAGTCTCCGGCGCCTTCGTGGTGATGTTGCACGCACAATAACCAGCTCTCCTGTCTCACCGAGCATGCTTATTATCGGGTAGGAATGTAGCACGACAAGGGGATTTGCAGTTCAATTTGTAATTGTTCTTTATTAATAATAATATTATTTTTTAAATTGGCTAACAATGACTCCTCAGTCCACACGGTTAGAAGTGCTTCAGTCAGGGTGTTCACTCCCACTCGCTCTCAGGACTGAATCAGATCTGAACTAATACCCCAAACATTAGCAGAAACGATTGCCAACACAATGTCAGGTTCAATTCCTTTGGTAGACCTGTCTAAGACATTGAACAGGGACGGAGGGCGGCCAAACATCCTGATGGCTCTCCAAGTCCAATCTTGCATATGAAGAATACCCAATTGGGTGTGGGCCCCAATATCTACCTTCAAAAGAAGAGGGGAGTCGGTGCCTTTCAGTTTGATTCTGAATTATGAGAGAGGCCAACAAAAAGGGCCACTGTGTGGTGAGAGCTTAAATGAAGAATATGATGGAAGAGTGACACCTGACACGTGCTGTTTCTCAAAGGGAGTTAGTTTAGTGCCTTGTCCTTTTGTAACAAACATTTGACTAACATTTTCACTCAGATTTTGTCTTTCTTACTTAAGTGCTCTGGGATGCTGCCCTGCATGAGGGGTGCTGTATAAATTCACGCTGTTGTTGGCAATGGCCTGTTAGGCCCTCTGATCTCTTTCTGCTGTTTAGAGGACAAGTTGGAGCAGCAACATTCCCTCTTTACTCATTATAAAGATCCCTGCCGCCTGGGACCAGGAGAGGAAAAACCCTGGGTCATGGGTGAGTGGAACAGGACAAATTGTTGGTCAGGGAAATGTGGCTGGTGACTTGGTCAGGGGATGGGAACAGGGGCCTGTCTGTCAGGCATGAACATAACTGGGTATCTGATCTACAATACCAATTTGGAGCCCAAGACATCGCTTAACTGGAAAGGGAATAAGAGGTGGAAGTGTAGCTGAGAGATGGAAGAAAACATATTCCTTGGTTTGTAAACTGAGGGCTTTGAGAGAGCAAGAGGGACAGTGGATAACAGTGGGTGATAGAAACAGTAAATATTTTAGTAAATAGTTCATCTCATTGTTTCTGGAGGATGAGGGCTGGACTCTCAGGATAAAGAAGTCCTGTTTTGTAGAAACTCTGAAGATTTTCCTCCTGATAAGCCATTATTAGAAAGATGTAATAAAAAGTTGGCTCATTTTGTTAGGGAGGCTGCACTGGCTTAGGGGAAGCATTCAAAACTGTGAGAATTTCTCCTCTGAGGAAGTGCCACTGTTGATGTGAAGGCCCGTCACAGGAAGGAGGGACACTGTCTGTCTGTCAGCGTTATGTGTGTGGCAGACCCTTGGCGCCAGTGTGTGTGACCTGATTTCTATTTGACAGGCACCTTGTTGGATCCAGAGGGACTGTATGATGAAGACTCTGTGTCCCCTGATAACCTGCAGAAGTAAGTGTGTAATCCACACCCTCTCCTTTTTGGGTGAGGGATTTGGGTCTTGATGGGTGGTGAAGGGAATGATGGGTGATGGCAATGGGATGTGACATTGACAGAAATCGTTTCACACTCACTGCCCATTTATACAAGGCTGCTGGATATAATCATCTGCCAGCCCCCATCCAACCAACATAACACTAATCATTCCACAGGCTTGAGAGGATGGGATTGGAAGAGTAAGGGAGGGCTGTGAGCAGTGAGATGCGTGCTGGAATCTGGACAGTCAGGGGATATCAAACTTTGAATATATATATATCGACATAGGTATAACTGAACCAGCTGCTACACCTCTCCCCCACCAAAATACACATACTCTGACCATCCCACAGCAGACAGCGATTATGGCAGCTTCACCTCATCACCGGCAGGAACGGGTGGGGGAGGGAGCGCAGCCCTTGGTGCTGTAACTTGTGGCTGTTCTCAGGGTACTGGAGAGTGAAGATGGACGCAAAGAGTACTTGGCGATCCCTGGCAGGAAGAAGCCTGGGCAGATGGGGAGCAAGGTGCCTCTAAAGTCCTGTGGGCGACGAATCGATTACGTGCTGTACTCGGAGGAAGGACTCCACCCTGACTGGAAAATGGTACGTTGCCTTCATCCCTCGCTTTACACAGCAGGTCCCATGGCAGGAGCAGGAGAGCAGCCCAACCCCACCCCATCCCCCTACCCATTTGTTACTGAGCTTATCCACCAATATGCTGGCTGGGACCTGCCCCACCCCCGCCACCATCACGAAACATCGTCTCTTTACCCACCCTCCCATCACCTATCTCTTGCCCACATACCCTCTCCCAGGTAGGTACTGGGGCGTTCCTCGGGTTGAGTTGGAATTTGGGAGGAAATTTCAAGTGCTCTGAGACGCTACCCTGCGCGGAGGGCACTATTGTAAGTGCAAATTGTTGTTGAGTGGAGGAGTGGAAGAAAAATCTAGGTGTTTGCCAGCCTCATTTTGTGGTTAACCTTCCTCTTTGATCGTGCTTACAATCATCTCCTCCCAGCTCAGTGACAGAACTCCACGGGCTTTTAATGCCACCGTTAACCGCTCCGAGCTGCTATATAAAAGTTGTTGTTGCCTACAGGAGGTGGAGGAGTGTAGCCTGGTGACCCAACTGGCAGGATTGACTGACCACCTGGCTGTAGCCATGCGACTCTTGGTCTCGACAGGGGAGGAGGAGCCTTAACAGCCACCGCCAGCCGAGGAGAGAGGAGATCCCTCTGGAGCCGTTGTGGACACGTTACCCGAGTCGGGGAGGAAAGCATTTTCGGGTGTTCCACCTGTCCTGCGCTGGGCCGCTCTCCCCACTCTACTCCGCTGTAGGAATGGTTTGGGAGGTGGCACTAAGAGTCCAACAGCACTGGTGAATATTCCCGTGCTCAACCTGAAGGTCCCGGTGTAAGTGTGAGCTCCCAGGATGGTGGAGAGACCGACCCCGATGACACTCACTGCCTTGGATCAGTGCCATTCCTGGAATTTTTTTTAATGCCTAGCAACCTTAGTGTGTGACCAGTCTGTGAGTGTTTGAATTTCATTTTAGGGGAGAGAGAAAAAAAAATCTTTGTGTAACTTTGAGAGGAGTTTTACCTTTCAACGAGCATGACCGTACAGCATGAAATCATAGTGCATGTCCCATTTCTGAAAGTGTTCCCGGAGCTGAGAGAACTGAAGTTAAACCCAAAGTATAAGTGAGGAGCTGGTGTTGGCAGAGAGGTAGTGCTGGTGAGTGTCACGCTGACCTGACCCACCTACTGATCGAGATATAGCTAANGGGGGGGCAGATGGTGTCATCACCAGTTTCTCTGACCATTGGCCTCAGTGGTCACACAGAGTGGCTGCCGCAGGTGAAGTGAGTCTCTCACCAAAAACTTTGCAAACATTACGTATACTTCAGGGAAGGCCCGGGACTGAGGGTGGCTGGGCAGTCAGTCTCTGAGGGCCATCTCTGCCCCAGACACTGTCTGGCAGTAACCCGAGGCACCAGCAAGAAAGAACACCTCTTGCCACTGTCTTGCCCAGCTCCACTGGCCCAGCCTGGCTCAGTTGTGGACCTCTTACCTCTGATGGTCCTATCCCTGACCTCTAGCTGTGAGATAAAACTTTTGAGCTTTTTCTCATCTGAGCAAGGATACAAACATACACGTTCAGTAACCATAAAATGTAGGATAACAGAAAGGATTGAAGCTAAAGTGATGTTCAGAGACTCAGCTCACCCTTGTGGCGGCTCCATGGTCACACCGACAGATTGAGCTCCCATTAGCAACCCCTTCCCTCTCCACACGAGGGCAGGAGTGAGCCATTCGAAGAAGAAGAAATGTTGCTGCCCTGACATAGCACTTCACTGCCCCGGAGGGTGGTGTGGGTCCACCTGCGCCTCCTCACAGGGCTGTCTGTCCATGTGTCTGTAATCAGAACGTCCCATCCCAACCCACAACTGCATCTCACCAACTGCTCACACAGCCCACGATTAACCAGCCGCTCGACTTACTCTTAAACATTCCAATTTTATAAAAATTGTAAATGCAAAAGCCTTTTTGATCTTTTTTCTGTGCTGCAATATCTGTAACCCCCCACCGTCCCGGAGGGCGTGGGCTCAGTCTGCAGATTCACGGTGACGCCGCAACCGTTCAGAACACAGTAAAATCTGGATTCCGAAGCCCTGAAATTCAACCGCGTCTGTAAAACCAGTCTTAACATTTAAGAATTGCAGAAAAGTCAGTCTTACATTTGTGGCGTCCTGTAGCTCAGTGGTTAAACGAGCACTTGCCTTGCAAGCGAGAGGACCTAGGTTCAAATCCTGGCAGGGCGGAACATTTGGCAAGTTTCCTTACCCACACGCCTGTCTAGCAGTAAGTAGGAACCTGGTTGTTAGTCGGTTTGCGGATCGCTTTTCCGGGATAATAATCCCTAAAAAATAATAATTTGGTTTAGGCAATCCACAATTGTTTGTGGGACACTCTGCGTAATTGGCTGCCACGTTTTGCCCACAAATATACACATGCAAGGATTATTATTATTGAAGTAGCTTTTTTAAAAAAAAAATCCAGTTCCAAATTAAACTGAATTGAAGGATTTTCTGCAATTCTGCAAATTCTTAAATTTTAAGACAAAATGGTCTATTTGGGGAGCTGGGCAAGTGACGCATGCAAACCCATCACCGTGCTCAACAGTATCCAGAGCAAGCGTGTGATGCCCCCCAGCCATGGATAGATTTCTATGTCTGGAATGGAATTGCACTCTCCACCTAGTGGGATGCACCGTGCTTACCTAATTCCAGAGAGTATTAGGCACAGGTTGGCAAGAGCCAAGGCTTGGATACTGCTGAATTTAACCAACCAGCTTTCTGCTGCTTGTTCAGCTCGGACCACCCTGCCCATTAGGGCTTTGGCTTGTGGGGTTACTGAGATCTGAGTGGGAAGAATCCTTACCCTCAGTAACCGATTTACAAGCTAAGAGTAGAATTTCAGGGCTTGGGCTCTGTGCACCAGTTATCAGCTGCTCCAGTTCCTGACTCTCGCTGCTCAGACCCTGTACTGCGCTGAGCCGCTCATTTCTGTTTTTTCTACTCGCGTCTTTCACACTGTACTTACTCGTGGACATTTCATCTGCTGCTTTTACTAGACTGAGAAATCGTTTTGATATTTTTTTGTAAAAACTGCCAGGATCTTTTCAAGTGTATCAGACCTGTTTTATCAGTAAAGAAAAGCACAATGTTAGCCACAACCTGGTGTTACTCTCCTCTGTTCTGTTTCTCTCACGGAGCTGGCTGCTCAGGAGGAGAATGGGGCTTGAAGCAGGCCCTAGCATTTGACCTTACCCAGGAAACTGACCCCGAACCAACAATCCGAACCGGACGAGTCCACACTGGATGAGAACGCAAACACATGGGAGCCAAGTTCACAATCCCCCCCAAACTAGTCAAGAATTAGCTCAGCCACATCTAGTAACCACATAGTGAGTGCTAACGTGGAGGAACAGGTAGCCCAGTCCACTGCTCGGCACGCAGACACGAGAAGGGGAAAAAGCTGGGCGTTGGGTTGGGGAGATAGGAACAAAACCTAGTCTGTCTCCTGTTCCAATCAAAACACTCATTAAAACGCCCAACACTAACCTCCACAGTGGGCATAACCTAGAACATTCCAGTTCATAGCAGTCGCACATGTATATCCACACAGTATATAATATAAAGATTATACACAATCTACATAATAAAAGATATCAAAGAAACACTTTTTAAAACTTTTTAAAATTCACTTCCATGGAACCCTCAGACCCAGGCCCTCGCATACAGAGACTTGCCCCTTTTAACACATTAACAGGTAAGTCTTAATACACCAGAGTCACAAACTTGAGAAACCAGTGTGCACATTAAAGCAGGGAGGGCTTCATTGCTTTCTACTCTGACACTCTGGTTTAGAGGGTAAAGGAATGGAACCCATGGAACCTTTTCCGGGAAGGAGAGAATTAGAATTGCTGACTGCCCCCCCACCCCTAAAAGGAGCATCTGATGAGGACATCTGACGAGGGTAGGACAAGGCTTGGCTTTGATTCACCGGTTACAGAGGCTGTAATGGTAAGGTGAATGCAAACCTGAGGGAACCCGGCGCTCCAGAACGGTTCCCAGAAAGTGGGGAAAAAAAGAAGCCAAACAGACACTTTCTTGAAGGAGAGAGAACTGAGAAAACCATTGTTCCTGATGCAGGAAGAGAGGAGGGAAATCCTCCGGGAACACTGACCTCGACGGACAGGACATGAGGTTTGACTGACCGGAGCACTGGCAGCAACTTGCCACAACTCCTGATTCACAAAGTGTTTATTTAGCCCAAGAGCAACAAGCTCGGTTCAGTGCAGGGGGGGGAAGGCTTTCTATTTAAACACACACAATCTCTTGATGGCCAGGAGAAACACATCACACAAAAAAAATGTTTTTTAATGCGACTTAAAAAGAAATGGAAAATATTATTAAATACAATCGAGAACTACCAGCTGCCTCACAGTGACTGAATCCACCTCGATCAAACAACCGGTTGCATGTTGCAGTTCACAAACACTCGTATCAGTAACGAGTCTGGCGAGGACTTGGTGTGGGCTCCACTCGACTGCTGTGGGATTCACTGGAAGTAGTTTCCCCGCAGTCTCCTGTGGTGACTCTGGGGCTCAGCAGTATACGGCCCTCCTCAGCTCACCGTGGCTGCAGGGTTAACCTGGTCACCACACAGGCTTAAACTCCACCGCCAACTTCCCAGTCCCTGGGTGGAAAGTGACAGTGTAGTGGATTGAGCAGCAGCTCGCAGCTGTCTCTCGCTGTGACTCCGAGCTCAGGAAGTACACGCCTTGCTTACAGTGTGGGCTCCACGTGCAATCCCCCTGGCGAGACAAGAGCGGTTTTAATGGAACGTCAAAATAACACTCCCAACATCGCCTGGTGAATGTCACAGCGACAACACTTCCCCTTCTCAAACCACCTCAACACAGGAGGTTATGGGCAGGGTGGCTGCCCAATTATCTGTAGACAACGCCTTGGGACATCCTCCCGACATGAGGGCGCTACACAAATGTAATTTTGTATTGTAAAGATAAGGCAGCGCTGACACTGAGTCGCACAGCGCTCCTGGGGAGTTCCCACAGTCATCGCATGGTTTGCACAGAGTGAGGTGACCTCGGCCGGAGAGGCAGTGAGTAGGTTTCTGGGGGGGGCGGGGGCTTCAGTCCCGCTCTGATCGCTCGACAACATCACATTTTAGACATCGCGTCTTTCACATCAGGAGGACCTCGCAAAGCTCTTCACAGACATGACTGGGAACCCGAGCTGGGAGAGGGGGAAGCTGAGGTGGGTGGGTGGTGGGGGGGAGAGAAAGGTGAACAAAAGTGTCGTCAAGAATAAAGGATTTAAGTTGGTTTTAAAAAGAGAGCAGGTGTGAGGTGGAGAGCCTCTGGGATTTGGTTGTAGAGCTGGGGCGGAATGGTCGAAAACTCGCCCAACGATGAGGTGGGTCGGGCAGGCGAGGGATATCAAGGAGTCACCACAGTCGTTACCTCCTCTTCTCCCCCACCAGACAGACTCTGTGGACGAGTGGACAGGCTCTGTCTGTCGGGTGGGAGAGGAGGGGAGGCACCGACTGTGGCTGTGGAGGTTTACCGTATCTGTGGGTGGTCTGGTTAAGCCGGTGCTAACGGCGATATCATCAGTCAGCTGATAATCCATCCACAGCACCACTCCGTGACACGATCCGGTTCTGGAACATAGGTAAATAAAAAAAAATCATAAAAGTTCCTTCAGAAGCATCTACCACAACAAGTTTATGACCAGAGGTGACAGACACAGATTAGACAGCCACAGGCTCCAGTCTCGGGCTGAGCAGCTGTGAAGGTTACAAATAGCCTCATTGGCCTTGGGTTCCTGTAGGAATCCTACTGGGAGATGTGGACGTGGGGAGATTGGGCGAGGACAACACTGGCTGGCTCCTAATAATAATCCTAGCATTTGATATAGCACCTTATCAGGTCGTCGAGACGTCTCAAAGCGCTTCACAGAATACACTGTGAAGTGTAGTGACTGTAGTTTGTGGGCGAAACGCAACAACTAATTGTGCACAGTAGTGTCCGACAAACAGGAGCGGATTCAGTGACCGCATTATTTTTTTTCCCCCTCTGGAGGGATTATTACCCCCGGAAAGCCATCCGCCAATCGACTAACAACCGTGTTCCTACTTACTGCTGGGTAAACAGAAGCCTTGGAGTAAGGAAATGTTTCCCCTGCCTATCAAATAGTCTGCCTCAGTCAATCCTAATGCTCACTGTCAGGGCTCATATTGGAATGGTGGTTGGTGGGGGAGGAGGGAGGAGGGAGTTACTGGAAAACGAGTCAGGAGAGAAAAGCATCAGCTGGGTAACAATATTACTACCTTATTCTAGTCACAAACACAGTTTAACAGCGGCATGGCTAATAAGTTCAACACTTATGAAAGACCCTTGATCCTGAATTCTTTTAAAAGGCGCTGTTGGCTCAATGCTATTTAAAGGGCATGTGAGGAGTGAGCAGGACATTATAATAATAATAATCTTTGCATTTGATATAGCGCTTTTCACATCTTCTTGACGTCTCAAAGCGCTTCACAGAATATGCTGTAAAGTGAATTGACTGTATATTTGTGGGCGAAACACGGCAGCCAATTGCGCACAGCAATGTCCCACAAACAGTCGTGGATTGAAAATGACCAATTTATTATTGTTTTGTTTTTGGAGGGATTATTATTAGGCTCTGTGTGGAGTAAGGAAACTTGCCCAAGGTTTCGCTCTCTGCCTGGAATTGAACCCAGGTGTCTCGCTTGCAAAGCGAGTGCTCTAACCACTGAGCTACAGGACTCCACATTGGAATTAGGGATTAGATGAGGTGGCTCACGCAGAGAAAAACACCAGGGGCGGTGTGAGGAGCCTGTGTCTAAGTCAGGTTTTAGCTCATGATTTCAGTAGAACAACAGGGCAGCTTCTCAGAGTGTTTAAAGTCACCGGCTCGTGTCTCCTACCTGAGCAGCGGCACTGACCCCTCACTGCGCAGGCTCTCCACGGGAACCTCCCGCCGGAAGTCAAACGTCAGGGAGCGGAGAGGATCGCTGAGCGCCCGGCACGGATATTCCCACAGAGGCTGCGGCTCCGTCTCCTGAGATTCCCGGAAATCCAAAGAATTCTGAGAAGAGGCGCAATACAGAGAGAAGCGTCAAGATTCAAATCAGAGAGCGATCACCAGTCATTACACTACCTTACAGCGCCCGAGACCGCCCTACAGCGCCCGAGACCGCCCTACAGCGCCCGAGACTGGCCCTACAGCGCCCAAGACTATGCTACATTACACTACAGGCTCAATCAGGAGCAGCTTTAAACTTTGCTGTTCTCAGGTTCCAAGACAGAGCAGAGGGGACAATAGCATCTTCCTCTCTCACTCCTCACACACTGCGCCTCCCTCCACACCCTCCTCTGTCTGTCCCCTCTCACACCTAGGTGAGCTGGGGGCACATTCCCGGTTAAGCTCCCCATCACCGACACCTCGGTGCCACAGGAACAGTGCTTTTGCCACTCTCTGCGCCTGAGTCCCAGGATACCAGGAGACATCCCAGAGGAAGGCTTATTCTGGGAACACCGCTGCTCACTCTCACCTGGACCATCTCGTCCATGAGGCTGATGTCGAAGCCCTGACACATGCCACTGGGAGCACGGATCCTCCAGAGATCCTGGGAAGAGTTAACAACACAACACATGAACAGCGTCTCCGGGGCAGGTACAGCCAGGACACGGGGAAATGTTTATAGCAGACATTTGTAGGTGAATAAGCAAATAGTCACAACACGTCACAGTAAATCCCACAAAACGCTTCAAGATATAATAATCACATCACATTTCTAGAGGGCTATCACATCATTGAGACGCCTCAAAGCGCTTCACAGAATATATTGTGAAGTGGATTGACAGTGCATTTTATTGTTGGCGAAACGTCGTAGCTAATTGCACACAGCAGCGCCCCACAAGTACTCGTGGGAGAATTGAGTGACTAAATTTTTGCCCTCCTGACGTGAAAGCTACCAAGTCAAATGCAAGGACAGTTTTTCTTGTACCGTTTACCATTTGTAGATGCAAAACCCTTGTCTTTGGGACGTGATTATCCTGACATGAAAAGCGCTGCATAAATACAATTGGCTGTTGTTTACGACCTGGCTCAGGTGATCACACTCTTGCCTCTGGGTCAGAGGTAGTTGGATTGTGAGCCTGGGGTCCCAGCTGCCCGCAATCCCGAGGCCGGTGATTTGCTGTTGCCGCGTGTGCCCAGCGCAGTGCCCGTACCCTGAACTCCACCGCCATGAGGACGAGCGTGGCAGAGCACGGCATCACAGTGACATCAGGGCTCAGTTGTCTGGCCAGGGCTGTCCGTGCGTACCAGAAATACAGGTTGTGCCAGGGCAGGAGGCTGGTGGTGAAAAAGGGCTCTCCGATCAGCACCGACACCTGCTCCAGCAGAGAGGAGGAAACAGGAAGGAGAGTCAGACAGGGAAGAGATTGCGCGTAGGGTGAGGGGAGGGGGGCGTGGGCGTCGAGGTGTGGGGTGTTGGTGGTTGAGTCTTACCTGCTGGTTAGCCAGATCCTTGGAGGTCAACTGCTCTGGTCGCTTCTCAGAGATGGTCACCTTCCCAGCCAGCCTGTTGGCAGCTAAGATCTGTCAGAGAGGATTAAACAAACGCTTTTACAACAACGTTGACGTCCAATCGCCCCTCCATGGCCCCCCCGCCCCTCCAGCAAGTCTCAAACCAAGCTCCTGACCCCACCACTCCCCACCCCAACCCCAGTGAGTGTGACCATAATCTCACCTTTTCCATAACTTGCTTTGACAAGGCAGAACTTTCGAGGCTAAATACCTGTAGAGAAAGAGAAAGAGAGCGCATGAGACACAAAGAAAAAGTGAGAGACACAGAGACTCGGGAGGGATAGAGAGAGAAAAAAATAACACATTGAATAAGACAGAGACACAGAGAGACAGACACAAAGAGCGAGAGATTCAGTAAAGTTAGTTCACAGATATTAGCCAGTCTAACAATAATTCCAGCCTTTAGCACACATCCTCATGCTCCCCCACCCATACCCACCCCACACATCCCTTCAGCACCCCCATCCTTACCTGTGCTGCCCCCAGTAAGCACGTAAACACAGAGAGCAGGCTGCCGTCACTGATGCTCAGACACACACTGTGCGGCTTCACGACCTAGGAGATGGGCAAACAGACAGACAGGTTCACATCAGATCAATATTCTCGCCCAGAACAACGTAGCGCACAGCGATCGCTGCATACAAACTTGCACTGTCCCCACAAACTTCCCGTCCATTAGACGGGGAGGCTGAATAACTGAGGGCTGATACTCAGGCCCTTTGCCTGACTGAGGTTATGGGTGACAAGTCACCAGGTTTAACCGTACACATAATTCTTAAACCAGGTCCAAACCCACACCTGCGCTGGTTACACCAGGCTCCGGGTAACCCGGGGTTGCAGCAGATTTAAATCCTAAGGTTCTCACACACACCTTCCCCCCCAACGCCCTTGTGAACAGGACACATCACTCACAGTTTTCAGGGCCTCGATGTAGGCTTCATTCCTCATCTGGTCGTTTAATTGTCCGAAACGCTGTCTGTTGCACATGAGGTGGGCCTGACAGGAGCAGTAAGGCTGCTGTGCCCATCCTTCTGTCTCCTGCTTGTCGCTGGGAGTGAGAACAGAGAGAGACTGTGAGCAGATGGCGGTTACTGACAGCAACTGCTTTCCCATCATTTTCATCTTGTGTTACGTTTCCCCAGATCACAGGATCTCCAGAGACAGGCAGGCTGTGTATACCCCAAGTCAGTACGTACACACAGAATACTGTATACCCCAAGTCAGTGTGTTCACAGAACAAAGTGCATCACCCAAGTCTGCATATACACCGAACAAAATGGAATCTTGTTGTTGTTGTTGTTGTAGGCTCATTCAGCACAGCCACTGGATATACTTAAAAAAGAGCAATCCTAAAGGATGTGGAGATGAGTAGGGGAGTGGGATTAGACTCAGAGGCTGACGTGAAGAAAGCATCCCTATATACAAAAATGATAATAACCCTTGCATTTGATCCAGGCCTCATCAAGGCGTTGAGACATCTCAAAGAGCTTCACTGTACTGTACATACTGTAAAGTGATTTGTAGAGCAAAACACGGCAGCCGGTTGCGCACAGCAGTGTCCCACAAACAGCCATGGAGCGAGTGACCAAAGGCCGGCTTATGTGCTGAAACTCCGCACAGACCATTGGTCGCTGCGCTGGTGAGCAGGTCCACAAATGAGAGAGTACCAGCGAGCATTCACCCCACAAGCCTTCAGAGCTTCAGCCTCACGACTTCTGAGCTACAGGACTCAGGAGTCCTGTAGCTCAGTGGTTAGAGCACTCGCTTTGTAAGCGAGAGACCCGAGTTCAATTCCAGGCAGAGGGCGAAACCTTGGGCAAGTTTCCTTACTCCACACAGAGCCTAATAATAATCCCTCCCCCCAAAAAACAATAATAAATTGGTCATTTTCAATCCACGACTGTTTGTGGGACATTGCTGTCCGCAATTGGCTGCCGCGTTCACCCACAAATATACAGTCAATTCACTTTACAGTATATTCTGTGAAGCGCTTTGAGATGTCCTCATAATAATGCAAGGATTATTATTATTATATTCTCTCAATGTGGACAAACATTACAATACTAAAATGACATTTGGATGGCGCCTTTCATGTCGGGAGGAAGTTCCAACGTTCAGGGAGCAATGCAACAACAACAACTTGCATTTACGTAGCACCCTTCACACCCGACGGAGTCTCGGAACGCTTAGACACCCAACAACTCAACCCCCAGTAGATGGAGTTGTGGCAGGAAGCCTCTTTAGCAGAGATCCCTGGCCTCCTCTCCTACCTGCTGTCCTGCAGCTTGTACCACACGCAGTAATCGTCGTGAGTGGCCGTCAGATGGAGACGGTCACCCTTCTGAACCGTGGACTCTGTCGCCAGGAAGTACACGCACTGCATCCAGTGATCCCGCCACTGTGAATACAAACCACCAACCAGCCCTCAGCAGCAAAAACTAGTGAAGCAGCTTCACCCAAAATAAGGTCTCTAAGCACTTGATAAACCTGCCGATGGACACCAAGCAGTGAAACAAATTTACAGATTGTTGACCAAAGGCATGTTTGAAGAGCAATGTCTTTAATAATGATCCTTTCATGCGATCAGCGCCTTATCACGTCGTTGTGACGTCTCAAAGCGATTCACAGGATATAGTGTAAAGTCAGCGACTGTGTATTTTCTGGGCAAACTGTGGCAGCCCAAATGCGCACAGCAGTGTTTGTTGGCCAGGGAGAAACTAGTTTCTCTTTTTGAATAGTGTCACAGGATTTTTAACGGGCAGATGGTTAACGTTACATCCGAAGGACAGCACCTCCAACAAATCATTGCTCCCCCAGCTCTTCACTGGAGTGTTACCCTCAAACGCAAGTTCCAAGTCTCGAATGTGGAGCTTGAACCCACAACCTTCTGACTCAGTGGTGAGACTGAGCCAGGCTGACACAGGATTAGTGACTGACTCTCGCGGCTTACGTTATCAGGTGTCAATCTTACCTGGATGTTATCTGGAGAGGGATGGGCCCAGTGAGGGGCCATTGTACATTTGATGCTCCCCTCAGGGTCCATGTCCATGTCCCACCAGGACAGTACGACCTGGGCCTGCCCGCTAGCGGTCGCTGGTACCTGCACAGTGTGCTGGGCGGACGCACTGCTCACTGCTTTACTGAACTCCACCCTGCGGACAACATGGCCATCAGCCAATTCAACCAAAGACACCGTGAGAAAGGACAACACATGTCCCCCCCTCCTCTGCACTAACACGTCGTACGTAGCTATATACATAGGAGCAGGAGTAAGCTATTCAGCCCCTCAAGTCTGTTCTTCCATTCTATTAAATCATGGCTCATCTGTACCTCAAGTCCATTTACCTGCCTTTGCCCCAAATCCCTTGATCCCCACCTCAGTCTTGAACATGTGAATGGATCCAGCGTCCACAGCCTTTTGGGGGAAGAGTTCCAAATTTCCACTACCTTTTTGTGTGAAAAAGTGGTGCAAGATTTCACTCCTAAATGGCCTAGCTCTAATTTTAAGATTATGCCCCACTTGTTCTGGATTCCCCCATCAGAGGAAATAGTTTCTCTGTATCCACCCTATCGAATCCCTTCAACATTTGTCCTTTACATGTACCCCTATGTGTGTACATTCCTACCCACACACACATTTACCTGCAAACAAACATCTGCATACATTCCTACACCACCACTACAGACGCAAACCCCACTCTGCATTACATACTCTTAGGTACACCTCTATACCAGACCCCCACTTCACAGCAGACAAGCTCCTGATTAAGCAGCCAGCAAGTCCTCTGTACCTGAACATCTCGGTGACATGGGTCAGGGCTTTGAAGTGGCTGCGGGACACCTGGCTGAGCTGAATATCATAGACGGTGGGGCAGCCGGCACAGGCCTGCATGTCCGGGGGCGGCACCACCTCCCTCACATCTCCGCAGCCCAGACGCACGGGAACAGGAAGCAGCTTGTTCCAGGCCCACATCTGTTTCGACTCCACCAGCTGTGCGTACACCGTGGCTCTGTGAGGAACCGCCTCACAGCCCTCCTGTCCCAAGAGAAAGATCACAAGACTGAAGTAGACGCAGGCCAGAGGTGAGCCAGGCAGCAGTACAGGACACATCGACAGCATTTCAGGCAGCAACCATTACAATCACATTCACACTGGAGGAGTTACTCATGGGTTTGTAACAGGGGCACATGGAGCAGTGCAGACAACTCTGGTCACCATGTACTGGAAGGACATCCTGACATTACCACAAGTTGCATTTATATAGAGCCCTTCATGCTGGACGGCATCTCGGAGAGCTTAAACACAGACATGGTACAATGAGGGGCAGCGTGATTAACAGCTGGAATTAAGACCATCGAGTTACAATCGGAAGCCGGGAATGTTTATACTCAATACAAGGCTCTGGGGGAGATCTTACTGAAGTCCTCACTGTCCTAAAGGGAGAAATGGCACTCAATAACACGGTCAAAACTCAAGTAGAACAAGACTCAATTTCTGAGACAGAAAATGAACAAATAATTCAAACTGAAATAAATACACTGGGATCTCCCTGCCCCCCTGACCCTCCACCTCCTCACCTGAACAAGGTATCTGTGAGCGTGCTCATAACTCGGCAATGCCCCCTCTCCGATCAGCTCTGTATCAAATAATTCAGTCACCAGGATGTTGGCTCTGCACAGCAGATCCCCCTCTGCAGAGCGAGAGAAACACACAAAAACTCGCATTTACATTTTTGCCCTTCACTCAGAACAGTGTCTCGGAGCGCTGAGGAACACAATCAATCAGCGCTCAGAGTATCCGCTGTTTGACACCAGAAACCCCCCCGCACGTCCGATTCAAGGATCAAACGTTTTTAAAAAACTTTGATCAACATCAACCCACAGTTTCATAGCTCGCTGACGTCACTGAGTGGATTTACCCACTGGAGCATCACAGAGACAAGTCTCATTATGTTTTTAAGGAACTACTGCCCACGAGCACACAAGGTTAGATAACAAACACCAAGAAACATCCCATGCATTAGAAGGACAGAGTGAAGAGTTGTGCCTCTCAGCCAGCAACGAAGATGCAGCCACAATAGCAATTACTATGAAAATCGCTAATTTCAAGGGAGTCCCCAGTTGGGCCCAGTTGACGGCGTTACACTGAGGTTTCTCCGTACATCAAGTGACAACCCTCTCTCCCCCTCCCCTACGAGTTCCTGACACTTCCTCTCACCTGGCCCCACTGTGACCTCGGTCGAATGCTTGTTGATAATTTTGATTTTTTTGGCAAATCCATTTTTTTCCACAATCTTCCGAGCGACGTCAGCCATCGGCTTAAAAACCTGGGAACAACAACATTTACATCAGCCACAATCTCTTCCCCGCACAAGTGGGCATTCTGCACCAAAGCTGCACTGTGAGCAGGGAGCTCGGTGATGATGGGAAGCTTCAGTACATAAATCGCTAGGTTTCAGAGTATGCCATAAAGGTAAAGTTCAGAGTCAAGCAACTTCCTGAAGAATATTATTTGAATATTAAGAATTTTAATCTTAACAAATTAATCTATCGGAAAGCTCCCCTTTCACAAACATAGCCAATCTTGTAATTCCACTTAATCTAGCGGTCGATGAGGTTTTTCCACCCTTTCTAGTTTACGTCTAAAAATATCCTCAGAAAAGAAACAAGGGAATGTAAGCAGTTTCCCTGAAACGCAACAGGTTTGCAGTAATCCAAGGCATTGTTCTTAGCTGACTAGTCAGATGAGGCCCGAATGTATAGCTAAATCCTCAAACCTGTGAGCTTTAACAGGTGAGGTCCTACCTGCATAGTAGTTGTGAAACGTATTCAGTACCATGTACCGTAAACTGCTTGGTTCCCATTATTCACAAAAGATACCTTGGAAAATATAGACTTCACAGCTATAAACTACCAGACTCGACACTTGGTTTAATCACTTCAAACAGACTGAGAAGAAAACATTTGTTCATCAAATCTATTCACTGAAGACATGAAAACTAACAGATTAAAACCCAGAGCAGAGCAACCACCTCTGGCCGGTTGACCCCTCACCTCAATCGCATAACAGTAATCGGCTCCGGCGCTCATGGCCATCATTGAGAGCAGTCCTGTCCCTGTTCCAATGTCCAGAACAATCGCCTCCTGTCCTCGATCCTTCACCCTGCGAACCGCAGCCCGGATCCCACTGTAGTACTTCTCATTCTACAATGTACAAAACAATGCCTCAGGATAGAACACACGGATAATCTGGTCAGCACTCTGCAGATGAGGGTTTTTCACCTGACAAGGATTATTTATTTTCTCCTGTTCCAAGATGTATTCTCCCATGTCCATTGTCCCAGCTCACTTCAACCAATGCTGAGGCAGCGTTAACCAACAACAAAATATAAAAAAGACAAGATACCTTCTGCTTGATTGTGATACTCATTGCAATCAAATAAACACCCAACATTCACTGTTTAGATTCCTAAGTGAACAATTAGGTGAGGAATCTTAGGGTGATTGGTGCAATTGGAACTAAACCTCAAAATAGTGACATCTTTTAAACACAGAAGCTGAGAAAAAGCACAAAGTCACCCATTTTCAGTTATCTGTCTCTAAACCTACCTGATTATTGAGGTAGAGGCTGATCATGTCGAGCCTTAAAATTTCAGTTTTTTAAAGTTTTTAAAAGCAAGATCCAATTGTGTGTCCCTCATTGTACAACAGCTTTAAACCCACTATATATACTAGATTCCTTAAACACGTGTTTAACTTTGTGTCAGACACCTACCCTGTCTGTGTCATGCAGCATATCTGCATAGGAGGACCTGATCAGAGAAACAAAGAGAGAGAGGTGAGAAGTATAAATTAGTGCAATATTCATTGAACCTCAAGCTCTTTAAACAGGGCCATTGATTACCACCTCAATTGCCACCTGTAATCTTGTCATCAGGTTAATATGACAAAGTGAAGCCACCCATCCCAGGATAGTCAATAGGGAGAAGGGCTTATCCCATTATCTGGGCATGACATACAAACTGGAATTTAATTGAGCAGAATACAAAGTATTTGCAACACATAGCCCTCTTTAATTTCCATTAACATTTTAAATGAGCCAACAGGACAAACAACTCCACGCTCCCTCTTACACACACAGAAATAAACTGTGTATCAACACACCCCGTCATCAGAGCGGATAAGGTCGCCCATCACACGGATGAAGCCAAGCCTTGGCTCCCCCCAACCTGCACCTAACACTCTCGAATTCAGGAAGTTGGGTGCATCCCTTCAGGGAGAGACAGCATATTCCATGTCAGACATAAGGAAATTTCCATGTTTAGTTGGCATATCATACATCACTATGCATAATCGTATCCAAACCAGACATGTAGCACTTGGTTTGGATATGATTAAGTATGGTGATGGGTATCTACGTGCCTCTGGCTGTCCCCAAAAAATCAGCTTGGAGACCCGAGTGTGCATTGGGGTATAACTGCTGGAATCAAACCAACAGAGCTCTCAGAGTTAAGCCGTGTGGTTTCAGCTGCTTAGACCGGACTGGTTACCCCCTTAACTCAAAGCAGAATTCCAAGATACAACTGAAACTATTTTTTTTACGCCAGCCTGGGGACTGACACGTTATTTAAGTTATTCAAGCAGCGCCCACGAAACATACAGTCAATTCGCTTTACAGTATATTCTGTGAAGCGCTTTGACACGTCTCAAAGATGTGATGAGGCGCTGTGTCAAATGTAGGGATTATTATTTATTATTATTATTGCTCCACTATTGAGCACTTCAGCGGAGGCGGGTGACGAGCATTTTAGACAATGCCCATTTTTCTAAAGTAAAGCCCAGAGTCCAGCCACGTTCTCATCACTGCGAGGAGGGGAGGGAGAGGAGGTTAGAGGGAAGGGGAGTGAGGAAGGGGTGGGTGAGGGGGGAGGAAGGGAGTGAGGAGGGGGGAGTGAGGAAGGAGGGGAGTGAGGAAGGAGGGGAGTGAGGAGGAGGAGGAGGAGGGGGAGTGAGGAGGAGGGGAGTGAGGAAGGAGGGGGAGTGAGGAGAGGGAGGGGGAGTGAGGAGGAGGGAGTGAGGAGGGGGAGTGAGGAAGGAGGGGAGTGAGGAGGGGGGAGTGAGGAAGGAGGGGAGTGAGGAGAGAGGAGGGGGGAGTGAGGAGGGGAGTGAGGAGGGGAGTGAGGGGGGAGTGAGGAGGGGAGTGAGGAGGGAGTGAGGAGGGGAGTGAGGAGAGGAGGGGAGTGAGGAGGGGAGTGAGGAAGGAGGGGAGTGAGGAAGGAGGGGAGTGAGGAGGGGGGAGTGAGGAGAGAGGGGAGTGAGGAAGGAGGGGAGTGAGGAAGGAGGGGAGTGAGGAGGGGGGAGTGAGGAAGGAGGGGAGGGGGGGGAGTGAGGAGGGGGGAGTGAGGACGGGGGAGTGAGGACGGGGAGCGAGGGAGTGAGGACGGGGAGTGAGGGAGTGAGGACGGGGAGTGAGGAGGAGGAGGAGGGGGAGTGAGGAGGAGGGGAGTGAGGGGGGAGTGAGGAAGGAGGGAGTGAGGAGGGGGGGAGTGAGGAGGGGGGAGGAGGAGGAGGGGAGTGAGGAAGGAGGGGAGTGAGGAAGGAGGGGAGTGAGGAGGGGGAGTGAGGAGGGGGAGTGAGGAGGAGGAGTGAGGAGGAGGAGGGGGAGTGAGGAGGGGGAGTGAGGAGGAGGGGGAGTGAGGAGGGGGGAGTGAGGAAGGAGGGGAGTGAGGAGGGGGGAGTGAGGAAGGAGGGGAGTGAGGAGGGGGGAGTGAGGAAGGAGGGGAGTGAGGAGGGGGGAGTGAGGAGTGAGGAAGGAGGGGAGTGAGGATGGAGGGGAGTGAGGAAGGAGGGGAGTGAGGAGGAGGGGAGTGAGGAAGGAGGGGAGTGAGGGGGGTGAGGAGGAGGGGGGAGTGAGGAGGGGGAGTGAGGAAGGAGGGGAGTGAGGAGGGGGAGTGAGGAGGAGTGAGGAAGGAGGGGAGTGAGGAGGGGGGAGTGAGGAGTGAGGAAGGAGGGGAGTGAGGAGGGGGGAGTGAGGAGTGAGGAAGGAGGGGAGTGAGGAGGGGGGAGTGAGGAGTGAGGAAGGAGGGGGAGTGAGGAGGGGGAGTGAGGAGAGGAGGGGAGTGAGGAGGGAGGGAGTGAGGAGAGAGGGGAGTGAGGAGGGGGGAGTGAGGATGGAGGGGGGAGTGAGGAGAGAGGGGAGTGAGGAAGGAGGGGAGTGAGGATGGAGGGGGGAGTGAGGAGGGGGGAGTGAGGATGGAGGGGGGAGTGAGGAGGAGGGGAGTGAGGAGTGAGGAGGGGGAGTGAGGAGGGGGGAGGGATGTCTCCGCTCTGTCGCTGCCCGGAGCCTCGTGCGCGGGACCCCGGGAGTCGGGGGTCTGTACCGCGCGATCTCCTGGTGATAGTCGTAGTCCTGGTCCTCCTCCTCCCACTCCATGGCGCCGGTGGTGGGGTTCGCTCGGCCGCAGAAGGTTTTCATGGCGCCGAACGGGGGCTGTGAGAGGGCGACCGGACTCCCAGCGGTGCCCGCGGGGGGGGGAGGGGAGGGGGGGGGGGGGACGCGCCGCGCGCGCTGCCGCTACGTGGGCGCCGCCATCTTGGCCTTCCCAGCATGCAGAGCGAGCGAGCGCGGGGGGGGGGGAGGAGGAGGGAGCGGTCGGCACGTGACGAGGGCCGCTCCCGCCCGGGGCCCCCGTCACGTGCTCCGAGCACGGCTGGGTTCCGGGTCACGTCACGTGGTCAGGGCGTGGGAGTCAGTGTAACAATCCTGTGGTCTGACACCATGTGCTGACCCACCAGTCCCTTAAGCCTCAAACCCCCCACCACCACCACCACCACAACAATGACCGCCACTGATCATTCAGGCGTAGGCTCATAGGCTTTGCTGCGCCCCCGCGCCCCCCCCCCCCCCCCGCAGCAAAGCCCAAAGCGACTGAGCGTTCGCTGCGCCTTATTATCCATTATATATTACATCAAATGCCAGGGTTATGATCGCTATTATTATTCATTTGTTGTCAGAAGTTACGAGGTTTCGAGGTTCGCTCAACGCAGCGTCTTAGAAGCCTCACCCGGTCCTTCCGCACTCCACGATTTTCACGTTGTGTTTACATTTATTTATTTATTTATTTATTTATTTACATGACGCGGTTCAGCCTCGGAAGGACAGCTGCAGGAGGAGGATGATGATGATGATGACGATAATGATACACTGCATTGGATGTAGCGCCTCAGCACGTTGTTGAGATGTGGCAAAGCTCTCCGCAGAACAGACGGCAAAAGTGGCCAAAACACAAAATACTGCAGATGCTGGAAATCTGAAACGAAACAGAGAGGAAAACCGCTGGTCAACCCCCGATCTTCTGGTCTCCTGCCATTTTAACTCACGCTCCCATTCACAGTCTGACCTCTCCATCCGTGGTCTCCTATGCTGTTCCAATGATCCGCGGCAAAAGCTTGAGGAACAGCACCTTATCTCTCTGCTCGGGACCCTACAGCCTTCTGGCCTCAATATCGATTTCAACCGCTTCAGACCATAAGAGCTCACCTTCACCCCTCCCCCTCTTTCTGTTACCAGAAGAGTTATCTTCTGTTACCATTACAATCATCACCCCAGACACTCTTTGTATCCCTCTGGTGTGTTGTCTTTTCTGCACTGTTAACACCTCTTCCCAGTTTTGTTTCAACCCCCCCCACCCACCCACTTTATGTTTTATACCGCTATTACCTCTTTAAGCCATCAACTAACGCATTCTTTCCTTTGTCTTCCTTGTACTGCCTCCCGCTCTCAACTCGTCCTTGAAAACCTCCCTTCCAATATGCCCCGTTCTGGCGAAGGGTCGTGGACCCAAACATTGACTCACTTTCCTTTCTCCATAGATGCTGCCTGACCTGCTTAGTTTTCCCAGCTCTCTCTGTTTTTGTTTCAGACTGTAAAGTGGAGTGACTGTAAATTTTCTCAGCAAACGTAGCAGGCAATTTTGCGCACAGCAGTATCCCACAAACAGTCGTGGATTTAGTAACCAAATTTTTATTTTTTGAACTGGAAAGGTCAAAGGATGACCTTTCCAGTTCCCACAATGGGCATCTTTGTGGCATTTTAGTGTAAGAGATTACCAATTTAGTGCTATATTTGTTTTTTTAAATCTCTGCCATCGCCCATTCTCATTTCATAGCCAATAAGAACTTTCATTCCGATATTCTGGACTGCATCCAAACTCATCAAATGCTACATCTCCACTGGGATCTAACCCGCCTGTTTGCTGATGCCAGCAATCTTTTTATTCAGTGCTTATAGTGGGATTTACAATTACACGCTTACCATGAAAAGTTTGTTAACACTCGTCAGCAATGTGTGTTAGGATATTCTCATTTCCGTGTCTCCCTAAATTACTATGTAGATTTACATGGGAATGATTTGTTTAACAGTTAATTTACCTCTATCCGCATGGTGATACAGAACACAACATTTAATAACTATATCATAAACCAGCTTAGCATTTCCAAACAGAAACTGTTCAAATACATCCTATAAGTATTTCATTCAATCCACAACTGTTTGTGGGACACTGCAACTGGCTGCCACGGTTCGCCTACAAAATACACAGTCAATCCAATTGTACAATACAGGTAATTGGAGATATCGCAATGATGTAATAACGATAGATTTATATCAAATGCACAGATTATTATTATTATATGTGGAGCTGAAAATATGGTTTGAATACTCTTAAGCAATAGTGATGGGTTAGCAAACATGTGCCCCACTGCTGACCAAATAAAACATTTTTCTCCAACCAGGAAGATATCACAGCATTGTTAGCATCTGATATCATTGCAGCAGAAACAGCAAGTTGCTCTTTTAATTCTCCTCGATGACTGCAGTACTCTCCAACTTTACAGCGGTGGCTTACAGGAGAGTGCAGTACAGTTGTGGAGGGGAGCTGGTAGAATAATGGGCTCTGGTTAATATCACAGTTTCTATTTTCCAGACAGTCTCGCAAGCTCCTTAAATGGTTGAGCACTAGGAATGCAGCCCCAGGAAATGACACGGGTCTGATTTTGTGCAGCATCGAAACATTCATAGAGACCTGCCTCTCCTAATGCAACACGTTGAATGCATTCGATGTAAAATACGTTTATGTTGAAGGCGATTGGGTCTCAGCAACACGTGGGCATGTCTGCAATGGTGTGAGTGTGGGGGTGGGATGGGGGGGAAAGAGACGACGACTGCAAACACGATAAACCTTATTGTAATTTTTTTTATAAAAAGAAAAATCTGATGACGGGACCCTGAGCTCAAGTTCCATTAATGCGATCCAGATGTGTTCTGCTTGGCTCGTCCAGATTCCTGGCCAATCAATCAACAAACCCTCCACTGAAACTGGACCCTGCAGTCAGCTCGGGCTCTCTCAAGTCTGGAAACATTGTTTTATCATTCGGAGGCAATCGGATCCTATCACTGTTCTTCCTGCTGGGTTCAACTCAGTTTGAAAGAGGTTCCTGAAGGTACAGTACAGGGAAAGGCTTGCGAATTCTGCAATCCGCTGTTTCCCCCACTTTTATATTTCGCTTTCGAATCTTGCCTGTGCAGATAGAAGCTGACCTATTTCACTCTGCAAGCAGGAGAAACGGCAGCCTGCTAACTTAACCCTCCACTTCTCACTCAAGTCTGCAGTTGCACACTTCTTCAACGTAGGAGTGCGAGTTTAATGTTTATAGTTCCGGTTGTCCAGATGCGAACACTCTGGGAAGATGTCATAGGGGAAAAAACCTTATGTGCAGAATGTAGTGGAAAGCTTGGCAGCTTCCTTCTCTCTGCTGAAAAAAAAACCTTATGCGCAGAATGTAGTGGAAAGCTTGGCAGCGAGCTTCTCTCTGCTACAATGCTTGGAGAAACTTATTGAATGCGACTGTGATTTCGCGAGAGAGAGAGAGAGAGGACGACACAGCTGTGAGTTGTACTGTACTTCCTTACATTAATAATAATCCTTGCATTTGATGTAGCGCTTTTCACGTCTTCTAGGTGTCTCAAAGCGCTTCACAGAATAGACTGTAAAATGATTTGACTGTATATTTGTGGGTGAAATGCAGCAGCCAATTGCACACAGCAGTGTCCCACAAACAGTCGTGGATTGAAATGATTGATTTATTATTGTTTTCTGAGGGATTAATATCAGGCGTGTGGAGTAAGGAAACTACATTGGCTGATTAAACACATTTGACACCTTTCCCATGCGTTATTTTAGTGCTAAAACACATGCTTGTTTAATGACAGATAGTGAAAAGAAACAGGATTGCCTGCTTGGAGCTTTTCTCTATCCAGATTTACAGAAGTCACTGTTTGGAGTTTGGGTTTTTTTCCAGTGTTATAGCACACACAAAGTTTCTGTTGTTTTTCATTTCTGGATGTTTGTTACCAAGAGAGCAGAGTGAATGTGTGAGACACATGTTCAGGAGAGGTTGCAGAGATTGATGAGGTAGCTGTTAGCAAGAAGATGGGAGCTTTCTTTTACAGAAATGCAGTCACAGCAACTGTAGTAACGGTGAGCTTATATGGCTGGTGAAAGGCTCCAGCTGACTGCTAGTGACTCACTCACTAGAACATGTTCTGCTCAGTGTCCAAGAACATTCTCATTAAACACTGGAGCGACATTGTTTCCAGGCCTTTTGGCTAAGATCGAGTGAAGGTTTTAAGCCAAGTCCAGTTACAAAAATCAATCCAAAGCCTATTGAGATGAAGGTGGTGCATGGGTGTGGCAGCCTAAACTAGGAGCTCACATTCTTAAGCATAGCTTGAATTTACAACAATAATAATCTTTGCATTTGATATAGCGCCTTATTACATCGTCGAGATGTCTCAAAGAGCTTCACAGGATATATACTGTGGAGTGAATCGTTTGTGCATTTACTATCTCATGAGCAATCTACAGTAGATAATAAATAGGATACCATGAGAAACTCTGGTAGGTACTGCATATTTATTTGCATTAATGTCTATTTATAGACCTTAAACCTGTCTCATGGATAGACATAAGTTGTTTCAAATTATATTTGTATTTGCAAATGTGAGACACAGAACACCAGAAGAGCAAGATAAATACTTATTCTGTAAACAATTATCCGTCAAAATATGTTGAAGTTTCTAATTTAACAAGAAGTGCCAGGGTTGTCAATCCTGAAATTGATTCTTTTAAACATTCAGTGTTTATTTTTGATCAGCTGTTTCTTAAGCCGTGTCTGTTTGTCCTACAGCTTTAAAGATAACAAAGCCAGGATCCAGCCTGTGAACCAGCTCAGAACCAACCTGCCAACTTCAGGCCAGCCCTGTGCAATCTCGCCTGGGGCGGCCTCAGGACCCAGGCACCATGAGACTGCGGCGGAAGGGAGATTTGATCTGCACCTTCTTGCTGCTAACAATATTTTGCATTTTGATTTACATCCAGAGGGACTCTGACTATTCACTGTTAAAACAGCAAACCCGAACAGCAGAAACAGAAGCCGAGACAGCGCAGCCTCTGCTGAGCGCCCATGTCACACCCAAATCTATCTTCATTCCAACCCGGGTGGCGATTGAGAATATTTGCCAATCCCAACAAAGGTCGGAAAAAGGAGTCGTCCAAACAACCATTGCTCCAACCTCTGACACTTTACCCAGCAGCTACCGACAGTACCTCAGGCAAAAAGACTGTCGTGAGTTTCATCAGATCATTAACCAAAAAGACAAATGTAAAAAGATCCAAGGGGAACCAATCCTGCTGATCTCAATCAAGGCTAGGGTGGAGGAGTTCGAACGACGTGAAGTAGCTCGAAAAACCTGGGCCAGAGAAGGTCTGGTCCATGGGTTCCATGTCCGTAGACTCTTTTTGTTGGGATTTCCAACCAACCAGAGTGCTCTGTCTCTGTGGAGGCACCTGGTGGAGTACGAGAGTCAGGTCCACCAGGATATCTTACTGTGGGATTTCCAAGACACCTTCTTCAACCTGACGTTGAAGGAGATCCACTTTTTGAAGTGGGTCGATGAATTCTGTCCAGAAGCTGACTTCATTTTTAAAGGAGACAACGATGTCTACGTAAATGTGGATAACATTGCTGATTTTCTTGTGGATTTCAGTCCAAAAAAAGATCTATTTGTTGGTGATATTATTTACCAAGCTCTTCCCATCAGGAGAAAGAAGAGCAAGTACTTTATACCAGAGATGATGTATGGCCAGGGGGTCTATCCAGTGTATGCAGGTGGAGGTGGCTTTCTCATGACTGGTTACACAGCAAAGAGACTCTACCAGGCCAGTAAGGAGGTGGAGCTGTTCCCCATTGACGATGTCTTCTTAGGCATGTGTCTGTTGAGGATTGGCCTTGAACCAGTGTTTCATAAAGGGTTCAGGACCTTTGGGATAACCCGGCCATCTGCGGCCCCTCACTTGCAAACATTTGATCCGTGTTTCTATAAAGAGCTGATGGTGGTTCATAGTCTAAAAGTGGCCGAGATTTGGCTGATGTGGACTTTGCTACACGACCCCAAACTGATCTGCACTCATAAGGAATCAATAAACCTTGCATTCCAATGGCAAAGTCAAGCCAAAGACAACATTTAACCTTGTGAAATGAGATCAATAAATCCAAAGAGAGCACTGCCACAAACAGTCGTGGATTGAGTGACCAAATTATTATTTTTTCTCAAAAAAACAAATTCCAAAGCATTCCAGCTGACACTTTGAATGTTTATATTGTGGCAAAGTGTACTTGCTGGACCTTAGGCTTACAGCATTGTCAAAGAAATCAGAAAAGTGCTCTGGATTTACAACAGCTCTACATTATCTTCTCTGACCCAGTTCACTTGTAGGTAATTTTGCGATACACACAACTTGTTGAAAATGACAGCACAGATACATTGTGCTCAATCAAACTAAATATGGTATGAAGCAAAGTAAAATATTTCACTCACATTGAAGGGGTCCAATCACTCACCCATCGAGCGTGATCCATTGTGGGCAGTTTTTCCTCAGCCGGGCTTCAACGGGTTTAACACGTGGAATTTGTTGGGTTTGTGTCGCATTCCATACCTATCCGTTTCGCAATGCTGCTGCTGGGATCGTCAGAAATTGACCTGTTCTTTCTAGCATACTGATTATAAGCATTTGATAAGAGCGCCTTATCAAGCCGTTGAGATGTCTCAAAGCGCTTCACAGAATAGATTGCAGAGTGGATCGACTGTATATTTTGTGGGCGAAACTCGCCAGGCAATTGCGCACGACAGTGTCCCACAAACAATCGTGGATTAGTGTATAGAGTGACCAAATTATTATTATTCTCTTAGTGTACTAAACACTTGGTTGTTCAACAGTTGGAAACAGCATTCAGGTTAGGGCTGGGGGGGGGGGGGGTGGAGAGAAGGCACAATCAGGGAGTCCAATACACTGATACCCACGTGGACCATTGTCCACTTTCTCCAAAACTCTGCAGGTATCTGCTTTCCTTCTCATGGGCTTTGACGCTTGGCTCCAGAGGGAGCAGTGAATAATTTGGGGACTTGCTTGGGCAAAGGCAGGGAAAGGAGCCGAGGCAATGGGGGTGTTCGGAGGAGGCAGGGAGGAAGGGGCTAGAGCAGAGACAATGAGAGGTTGGGCCACCAGATAATAGATAAAAATGACAGACGTTGTAGTTGACAGGTCACCACTGATATCACTTCCTGTCCGTCAGCAGCGTCTTGTCTTTACTTGATCTGTGACCGTGGGGAGCCTCTTCCCCCCCAACATTGGCAAAAGTCTGTCCATTACTATATGGAGAAGCAGATGATTTTGTGCAGTAGAACAAATCCAAGCCTGAACTCACTTTCGTGGTCTTGCTTTATTAGTGAGAATTGGCTAAGTATTGGACCTTGGGAGGTATGAAAGCCAAGCCAATCCGGTTCTCACTCAAGATCCTCACACAATTTCAGTATGGGTAACCGTACTTCCTTATTAGCTTCAGTTCATTACAGGGCAAGGGAGGAAACACACACACAGAGACACACAATTTCAGCGGGTGGCATCACCTGACAGTAATTGGGACCAGAAAACTTGGCTGAAAATTCTTCTCCCTATTCCAGCTGTATCACGCCCACTGCTGCCATGTCTGAAATCACTAACTCGGTACATTACCTCCAGCCACCCTATTGCCACAAATGATCGCACAGAAAATGGAGTGTGAGCTGGAGCCTCACACTGTCTGGATTCAGGAATCATTCCCAATCACAGAGCTGCTTCACGCAAGACAACAACATTTAATTTTGGTATCTGCTTGCCTATCCTAAAGAGAGTTATTTTCCGCATCACTCTCTCCCCCCAGCAAACCCACCTGCATTTCCCTTCAAAATGTCCGTTCCCTCTCTAACAAAGCCCTCACCATCCATGATCTCATCCCGATCGAGCACCTCGACATTCTTGGGCTCACAGAAGCCTGGCTTTCTCCCACCAACCTGTATCCCTAGTTGAAGCATCCCTTCCAGGCTACTCCTTCCACCACACCACACCCACCCGTCCAAACCAACATGGCAGCGGGGTGGCCCTCATCTCTAAAACCTCCCTTGGTCTTTCCCCCTACTCTTCTGGCTGCTTCCCCTGCTTCAAGCACCTCACCCTCTTCCATCCCTCTCTCCCACTGAAAATCCTCCTGATCTACCGCCCCCCTAAGCCCCCCGGCTCCTTCCACACAGACATCTCTACTCTCCTCTCTTCCCTGTCCCTCTGCTCCGAATGCCTGCTCATAATTGGTGATTTCAACCTCCACCTGAACTCCCCTTGCACCACCTCTTCTGACTTCACTGCCCTCCTCTCCTCCCTAAACATCACCCTTCACATAAACTCACTGACCCACAACCGTGGTCATGCCCTCGACCTCGTTATCACCCACGGCCTTGACATTTCCGACCTTAGCATAGTGGACAAGGCCATCTTGGATCACTTCCTCATCTCCTTCTCCTCTCACATCCATCTCTCCTCCGCCAAGCCCTCAACCATTCTCTACCGCCCTTGAAAAAGGCTACCCCCTGAGACCCTCACAAAGGCCCTGACATCGTCAAACATCCTATCCCTCTGGCCTTTCACCCTCGGAGATCCTGAAGCAGCCGTCCAGCTGCTCCATAATCGCCTCTCCTCCACCTTCAACTCCCTCATCCCCCTGAAATCCAGGACCATCTCCAAATCTACCCATCCCCCTGGTATAACAATCATCTCCGCTCCCTAAAACCCCAAACCGGCTGCTCGAGCACAGATGGCAGAAAACTGGCCTGACAGTTCACCGCCAACTGTGGCTCGAGCATCTCCACAGCTACCGCCGTTCTTTGACGCGTGCAAAAGTCAAGGTCATACAAAACTCTGCCCACATTCTCACCCGCACCAAACTCCGCTCCCCGATTACCCCAGTCCTTGCCAGACTGCACTGGCTGCCTGTCCCAGAGAGGATCGACTTCAAGATCCTCACCCTTGTCTTCAAATCTCTCAACTCCTCTGCACCCCCTACCTCTCTGACCTCCTCTCATCAATGCCTGTTACCTTCGCTCCACCGGGTCTGGTCTCTTCTTTATCCCCCGAGTCCTTCACTCCACCCTCGGCGGCTGTGCCTTCAGCCACTATGCCCCGAGGCTCTGGAACTCCCTTCCTTACTCCCTTCACCTCACTCCCTCTCTTTCTATTTTCAAGTCTCTGCTGAAGAGACTTTCTTTTCAACTGCGCCTTCGGTCACTTTCCTCCGCCTCCCCAGGATCCGCTCCCGTGAAGCGCTCTGAGACGCCGTCCGGCGTGGAGGGCGCTATATACATCCAAGTTGTTGTTGTATTTTGCAGTGCTGACATTAAACAGTGCAGTGGGACTGAAAATTACTTTCACAACTATGGAAGGGGTTTGCCTCAATGTCTCAGTCCACGTGAAGGAGCTTGATATTGATGATGATCATCATACCATCTTTAGTCACTTTACATGTTAAAATTGATAAAATATCTAAACAGTAGTGCAAGATTCACTCGCTTTTCGCCACTTACAAATTACATTATGCAATCTGGTTACATGGCAGTTAGCTGTTTACAAGATGGTTACAGATTTGGGTAGTATGAATGGCTGAAAGGGATAGAATCATTGACAGGGGGATTTGGACAAAACAGGAAGAGACTAAGAACATATGAATTTTGCATATTGCGTGTTGCTGGAGCAACTGGACTGCCTCACGTAACAGTTATTCTGGAACTGTTTAAGGTTGTAAGGAAATTAAATTGGGATCTAGGCCAAGAAGAAGACATTCTTACCACAAGCAGTGCATTCTTACAGCACGATTTTCCAATTTGAAAGGAGTACAAGTGAGCAGCAAAATCACAGTGCCATATACTGACGATCCAATTGTACAGGTTCTGATGTTGTCTCAGTCTCCTCCTTTTCCACAATCACTTCAATTTGTCCCTCTCTGTAGTTAAGACAAAATTAGTCATAGATGGAGGGGAAGGGAAGGTCCCATTAGAAGGTTAGGAACAATGATTTGATCTTTCACAACTTGTTAGAAAGGGAATTCTATTAAATTCATCGTCAGATTACTCACCTCACCTGGAATGATTGACAATTAGACTGATCACCTTTCTCAATTTTGTAATTGGAAAATATTAACATCTAATAAAGGAAGTAAGTGTTGAACAAATATTATACAAATGAACTATTCTCCTTAGAGACAAAGTAAGCTCATATTCCATGACTTAACAAGGCAAACACTTTCTGTTTAACAAAGGAGTGTGGCATTACCAGACAGTAATCAGGACCAGAAAGCCTTCAGATTGTCCGCAGTTAACCTTGTAACCACAGCTCAGACTATAGAGAGGGCCATGGGTTCTCTAACAGGAATGCTATCAGCCACACATACATGGACACTGAATGCAGGAGTTGACAGATTTCAGTTAAAGCAAAACAGCACCAGAGAAAAAAAAAAGTTGGCATTCTTGCCGCATGCCTAACCCACATTGAAAAAATACCATTTCCGTGCAACTGGAGGTGGAGGAGAGGCTTGTAAAGATTTTACCCACGATGAAACCGGAGTTTCTCCAGGTTAAAGTACAAGTAGTTCCACTAAACTCTACCTTCTCAAGGTAAAGGTTGGGGGGAGAGAGGCTTTAACGTGCAGATTAGTCATACCCTTTCAAGATTTGTGAATCTTCCCATTATATAACCTGCCAACCATTAATCGCAAATACATCTGTAGCTATTTTGTGGGGAACCAGCTACACAACTGTTCCATTGGAGAAATTAATATCCTGGTGCATTTATTCAATGAAAATCCAGGATTCAGTGGCTAAAAAAGGGTAGGTCAGTGCTTTTTCCATTGCAGACAGCTCAGACTGCAGACCTGCAGAAATGTATCATTGTGTATGTTTTCTTGAATTAAATGTTAATCAGCTGTTGACTGAATGGGCATTCCCCTGGCTGAATGGTCCCCATACAATCAAAATAAACCAAATATTGCTTCCTTCCCAACCACACGACAGCACAATAGGGACACACACAAGGACAACACTTGATACGCCACATATCCTTCCCCTGATGTTAAAAAGTCTTTCAAAGGTGCCAACAATGTACAGGGTATCCACAAAGTCCTGTTACTCCACCCCCTTGTTACAAAACAGCAATGTAAGACTGTGGAGGAGCTGAAACAGGTTGTCAGAGAAGCATTTCACCTCCTCACTCCATCCACATTACGGAAGATGTGACACCGAACACGGTGACGGATCATTATCTGTCATGAAAATGATGGTGTTCACACACTCACACCGATCCTCTGGACGTTTAAATACAGTTAAATACTTGTACTGATGTGTAAGTGCTTCTAAGTGCAATTATCATCATTCTTCCACGTTTCAGTTGTTGGGTCAGAGCACTGTAGACAAAAAAACACACGGGGGGGGTAGAGGAACAGGACTTTGTGGACACCCTGTAGAAAGTCCACTCTTGAAGTGAAGGAATCTGTGTCATGTAGAGCGGCAATGAAACACAGAGGCTAGAGACGAAGCGTATGTCGACTATATGTCTTTGGCATCAAATGAATAATATGCGATTCAAGACAAGGTTATGCACTCCACAAAGGACCAGTCCACTCAAATCATCACAAACAGCGAACTGGAGTTGGTTTTATTTGCTTTGCAGAATACATGCTTGTAATGTGCATTTTTTTCCCATTTTTATTTTTTTTTAAATAAAAGTCAAGAGGAGAGCTTTGCAAAAGAAAAGAAAAAGAAAAAAAACGAGGCACAGACCGTTGCTGGGGTAGGTAAGCAAAGAGAACTGGAAACGGCACTAAACTAAGCGAGTTTAGTAAAAAAAAATCAACAGCTACAAGAGAAACAGTTTCAGCACTGAAGGTAAACTGTAACATAAATCTTTAAACAACATCCACATGTGTTGAGTACAACAGTCTGGAATCTTACAGGAAGACAGAATGCGAAGCATCACCTCAACACACATCTTTGCTACTGGTCCAGAGTTCGAACATTGATTATAATACAACCTTCTCATTGTTCAGCATGAAACTGTACAGGTGGGCTGGCTCCCTGCACATCTTGTTAAAATTACAAAATGCTTTATTTACAGATTTGTACACACAGTGTAAACACACGGTTGTCTATTTATCACAAGTTCCTACAACGTACTATGTATGTAAAAATGCGGAAATGGCTAAAAGAGATTTTAATGGTATTAAAAAAAAAAGCACAAAGCACTCACTATTTCGATGAAGGAAATGGCCCAAGTGCCTTCACGTCTTCCTATGAATAAACAGACCTCTGGAGAACGTCGCAAAGAAGAGGAGAGGCGTCTCTTTACTGAGCACATGCAATGTGCAATCTCTTCTACAGACTGACTGGCAGGCAGCGGGCAGTCTCGAGGCTGGGGTGTGCAGTTCCGTCACATAGAGCGACAACGAAACACAGAGGAGAGAAACAAAGCGTATGTCGACGATATGTCTTTGGCATCAAATGAATAATATGCGATTCAAGACATGGCAGAAAGGATTGGGATTCAATCCCACATGATGGGGTGAAGTGAACTGAACACCTCCCCCACAGAGTCGCAAGACCGGCTGTGTGCACGGACTGGAGTCCTCTCCGCCTCCCCCCAGTCTCACCCGATTAGCTGGCACTCTACCCTGACACACCTCAGTGGATAAAACACATTAATGAAGTAATTAAAGTGTATGTAGTGCAAAATGATAGAACGATTTCTAGAAAACATGCTACAGTCTAAAGCTACAAAGCGATGCCGTGCCTGAACTGATGGATAGACAAGAGACGCCTGTCTTTCCGTACCGTGCTGGGACACAGAAACGTGAGTGTATGGAGCACCACAGCACTACAGTACACCTATTACAGAAACCTGAAACACTGCCCATGTGAGGCTCAGACAACTTGTGCTTGTTAAGACTGCAGCTCTGTGGAGTGTCTCCCTCCTCGCCCTCTGCAGAGTGGGATAGCCCACAGAGACCAACGCACTGCACAATGGAGGAGAGAAAATGGCACAACACAAGCACAGAGCTGCATACCCCATCACCAAGGGGCCAAGACGAGCAATGGAGAGAGTCTCCGCACTCACCCACCCACCCACACCCCCTATCAAGTTGAGGCCTGGGGCCCGGTGAGGATTGGATCGTGCTCTTCTGTACAATGTTGGCAGCAAATCAAGGCACACTGTGCTAAACCGTTAGCATTCTGGCTGGTTCAAACCCGACCAAGGCTCACTGGGTCAGCTCTGTGGTTCGAGATTGGCTGCTGGGTCGAGGAGGGCCATATAGTGTCACTGACGCTATGTGATTGTTCTGCATGACCTGTGGAGAAACAAGAGCGTTAACAGGGCTGCACATTTGTCACCAGATTTTGGTTGAAAACTGAACAGCACTTTTAAACAAAATATTCCTACCCGCAAAAATGAACAGGATGCTAAAAGGGAGATAAAATACTCAGGGAAATAATAGGTATTAAAGGATTACAGAGAACCGGAAGGCAATGGGATTATTATCATCTAAGGAAGTATTAAAGGATTGGGTGGAAAGCTTGGCCAAATGGGAGTTCAAAATCTGCCACGATCCAATAAAATGGTGGATCAGACTCGATGCTTCTTTCTATTGCACATTACAAGAGAACCTCGAATTTCTGCATCATTACATTCAGCAGTGTCAGCTCAACTGTAATGTTTCAAATTACTGAGGGCAGCTGTACAGACAAGCAAGAGCTATACTAATTACTTATGCAGCAATAGCACAGTACATCTGAAGGATAAACCTTCACACTCAGAGACAGCTCAGTGCTGGGTTAATATTGTTATATCACATTAAATTGTACTGCAGTAAACATACAGAGAGCTTGAATTGGAATTAACCCAAAACATAAACATGTGCTCTCACCCTACGTACCTCAAAGATCATGCGCTGCAGTCCAAAGCAGAAAGTCGATCCAAATGGATTTGTGTTGTTTGCTGAGGAGGATCTGACAAGCAAAGAAATAAGGATCAGTTTAGCCATTCAAAAGAGTCACACCCAGAGAGACGGCTCTGAGCTTGGTCAATCTGTGCCTGGAAACCACATACCAGGCAGCCAAACATCTATAGTGGGGAAAAAGGTGGACAGAGCTCATCACAACAATACAAAAACTACAAGGAGCTGAGTCGATTCAGTCTGTGAGAAACAGTCTGTGAGAAAGTAACTAAACATAGGCATGACACCTATACTTTATCAATTCTTTCAATCTGACAAAGTTCCACTTGAGATTATTAAGAATTATATTTATTGATGAAAACATTCTGTGGAAATGGCAAGCTCGATAGGTCCAATGCAAGTAGTCAAGTAGTCTGTTATATCAGCAATGCTTCGCTGTGTGTTGTGAGATCAATCTCACAACATCTTGTCCCATTTTCCTTCATCTTTCTCCTCCCCACACCCCCAGCCTGGTTGCCTGAACAGTAGAGTCAAGCACTGTGTACATACATTTCCTGTTCTCTATTGTCTTATTTATCTATTATCAAAACTCGTCAGGCACTTCAGTCCATCTGTAACATTGTTCTAGATCAGTGTCCTCGCCCATGAGTTCCCCACGTCATGGCTGTGGGAAAGTGGCTGCCTGTTTGCTTACAAAACACACAGTCACTACACTTTACATCGAATCCCGTGAAGCGCTTTGAGATATCCACCCGATGTGAAAGGCGCGATATCAAACGCGAGGATTATTATTATTTCACGTTATGAACAGCTCCAGGGAGAGAGTGCACATTCCATTCCAATAACCACCTGTGTGCTGTGTGAACACCTGGGTACTGTACTGCCATATTCAGTGGGATATGTTAAACTCTCAGTTTGGTTTGAATACTCTTAAGTATGGGGATGGGTTTCCGTACGTGTTGGCTGACCGCCAAAAAATTTGGATAGCATGAGCAGATCCTACAGAACTCTGCTAATCACTGCCCCATCAGGGAACTGTTTCCATTTATCAACAGTTGCTTCCCATTATTAAACCAGTTAGTGCTAGTCAGCCGAATGAACGCTTAACTTAATCCTATTCAACACCACCCTTTCACCAGAATGATTGAGATTCATCACCAATCCTATTCTATCCCTTTGTACTGTTTTATTTTCTACACAACAACAACTTGCATTTATATAGCGCCCATCACGCAGGGCAGTGTCCCAGAAGTTTTAATCAAATGCATCAAGAAGTTTTAAACAAATTTCAATTTCTCTGCTCTGTCTTTGTTACAAGGCAATAAATAGGACAGAGGGTGAAAGAATGACAACTCAGTCAGACGTTTTTAATATTTTCATCAATAATTCAACAGGAACTTGTGTGTACGGGGCCTGGAAGCTTTATCACCTGTGCTACTGGAGGCCAAAATTCAGACTAGATTTACACAGAAAAATCACAGAAAAATTTTCTTCCTACAGTTCAAAACTTGGGCAACTTTGCAATAAGTTAAACCGAACTTCACGGCTATTTGTGAGACTTTGCTCTAAGCACATTGGCTGCCCTGTTTGTCTGCAAAATACAAACTCACTACACTTTACAGTAAATCCCATGAAGGACTTTGAAACATCCCCCCAATATGAAAAGCGTTTTATGAAATCTAAGGATTGTAATCTCCAAATACACTGAAGAGACAGAATTTTCAAACCGTGTATCTCAGATAAAACATTTTTGAATCATAATTGCAATGCACCGCTGGATATTTAGTTTGTTTCACAACTTTGCCAGATTCCAGCTGAGAAGAGTTTGTTGAAGTTTGTTGAAGCTTCACTTGTTATTCTCTGCATTTCAATAACCAGAGGCAAAAAGAAGCATTCTTCTCTTGAGTAGTCATCCTCAAACTCCTGGACTTCTCAATCTCCCTTGAAAACGTTCTCATCCCATCCCTCATGTTTCCCGTAAAGATACAACAATTTCAACAACAACTTGCATGTATATAGCTCCCTCCAAGGAAAAAATACAAGACAGCGATTAGTGATACTGGCGTCTCAGAGCGCAGACAAAATCACTCTTAAACCAATATCAAGCAAAGGTTCCATCTGCCTGTTCTTTAAGAGAATGTTAAAGGTCTCATGGCACTATTCAAAAAGTACAAAAGAGATTCTCCCAAAATCCTGGTCAACAATCCTCCAGATAAATTGGTTATTTCGCTCTTGGCTGTTTGCAGGACCTTGCAGGTGTAAAATGATTGCCAGATCATTACGTTCCAACAGTAACTTACTGTGAAGTGATAAAAGCTCTTTAAAATGAGTGTTTCCTTTTCTTTGACCCTATACTTACCTATGAAGGACCACTGGCTTTTCCATGGGGTGTCCGAGCATCTCCTGAATTGCATCCCACTGAAATCAGTACAACACAGGATGAGTGCTATGAGATTGCTTATTTACCTTATATATATGAAGGAAATGTAATTTATGAACAACTCAATCTCAGCCGACATGCACACAGCTCAGATAAGCTTGTCATCTTAAAAAAAGGCCACATTTTCCTCTTTCTCCCCCAATGGGCAAATGGGTAAAGGCAAGACTTAGCCAAACAGATAAGAAGATCACATGTTCGAATCCTGGTGCTGAGTTAGCTAACTGCAAATACAATCAACCCCAGTACTCCTGGATTAGGACGGGGGTGTGGGGGGAGAGAAGGAGAAATCAGCCTGAGTTTCTGCTCCTGGTTGCTAACTACACATCTCTGCTGGTGGTGCACGGCAAACTGAGGGTTGCTGTGAATAACCTGCTCGTCCTCACAGCAGCAATTAGGAACCCGGTTGTTAGTCGATTTGCAGATTGCTTTCTGAGGGGGAATACTGCCACCCACAAAATAAAGTCATTCAATCCACGACTGTTTGTGGGACACTGCTGTGCTCCACTGTCGGCTGCATGTCGCCCAGAAAATACACAGTCAATCCACATTCCAATATATTCTGTGAAGTGCTTCGAGATGTCCCAATGACGTGATAAAGTCAGTGGTGGTGTGGAGGGGGGAAAAGAGTCGGGGGTTGGGGAAGGAGGAAAGAGTGGGGTGGAGGAAAGAGTGGGGTGGAGGAAAGAGTGGGGTCTCTCCTCCCCCTCCCACCAGCCCACTCTTTCCTCTCCCCCCCCCTCACCTTGTCTCACCTTGCTGTGTGTGGTTACCGTACAGGGCTCAGTGTGGGAATCACCACTACTACTGCTGTCTGTGTGTGAGGTGGGGGAGTTGAGAGAAAAGAGAGAGAAAAATGCATCAGTACTAGAGAAACCCGACCAACATAGAGACCTCACTAAACCCCCTCCAGCCTGTAGCCACTCTAAACTCACTCCTCCCAGCCCTTCATTCTACACTTTCGGTAAGTACGTCCTCTGAACGAAAGCCATTTCTTGACTTGAAATCTAAATTTTAATAGATTTCCCATTAAATAGCTGAAACTTTAAATAAACATTCACGCCCCTCACCTGCCTGTTTCCTCCCACCTCGACTCTTCCCATCTCTCTCCCCATCCATCCCCCACATCTGTCTTTCTCCAACCCTCCGGCCTGCCTGTTCCTACGCTTCTCCCCCAATAATCATGGTCTCACCTCGTTTAACTGCTAGTGGTATCTTGAAATCACACCGATGGTATCTACAAAAATGAGGACATAAACTGTTAGATATCTAGAAACTCAATCCACAGGACAGTCCACACGTACCAAAATCATTAGAGCTAACTCTTTCCTCCCACCTCTCACCCCCCAAAAATAGTCTTGTTTTTGGTCTGCCAGGTGTCTGACACATGCAGAAAACCATCATCATCCTTAAGACTAATAAACCCAGAGTTCCATGTATCACACCTATACATTAAAATTCCCATGTTCGGAATGGAGCGTGCACTCTTTCCTTTCCCTCCTCCCCACCACCACGGGACGCAATTACTTACCTAATTTTGGAATATATTAGATGCAGGTTGGCAGGAGCCAAGGTTTGGGGAACCCCAGAGGATGCGGTGGGAGTAACTGCTGGGAGTCTCACCAGCTAAACCCACATAGCTTGCTATTGAAAACTGTGCAATCCACCTACTGGAGTCAAGAACCAGATACCCAACCCACCCAATCGTTAGGGACACAGGAATGTACTACAAGGCCTGGAACAGACTATTGCTGTTCATCTGGTTCCAAACTAAAATAAACAATCTTCCCTTCACTAATCAATCAATTTCTTCGACAAATTGCTATTGAATTCCCTGTTGAATGTGCTGGCACATCTACCTCTCTGAATCTATCCCACATATTCACCACTTTCTGGGTAATTACATTTGAATTTTCTCAATGTAGAACTCAGAGGCTAGACTATTTTGAAGAAATCCATTTCACAATCTATCATTGCGGAAGTATCAGAAGTGAAAGGCGCTGTGTCAACTATAATTGCAAGAACCTGAACTTGTCCATGATCACCAATAGTGGTCTCTGCACATGTTTGCATTCAGCAATTCTCAAATCAATTAAGCTGAACAGCACTAGTGCAGGAATTGTATTGCACAGGGGAACTACACTACCTCATTCAGCTCATCAATGCTGCCCTGCATTTCATTAGCATGTGGCAGATTGTATTTCATCACATTGCCCTGCCTTTTCTACATATCTTTTAATAAGCTTTCGCCCACAAAATGTACAGCCAATTCACTTTACAGTATGTTCAGGATCCGTTTATTTCAGGGAAGAGCCCATCCCCATCTTTTATCAATATCTTTAAGCTCCTCAACCAGATCATCACTGAGTTTCTGGGGAACACAGCATTTTCACTAAAGAATGTGCTGTACCCAGAGATCCTGCCAGGTTCTTTCTGACAGCTTCCAGACTTAAATTTCTGGTAAACCATTGATTGTGCATAAGATACTCAATAAAGCACACACAATAATTGTGGAATAGCCACAAACAGCACCTGACTGTGCTCTGCACTGCGTTTCCATGAATTACAGCCTTGACTTTTCTCCATTCCAACAATCTACTTCTGGAATTTCCATGTGTAGGTGGGATACAATACAAAATTACTTTTCTAAAGCTCCTTTCACATCAGGGGGACGTCCATTACGCTGAACAATCAGGGATTAGAACCTGAGCCGGGGGCGGGGGGATTGGGTGTTGGGATCAGGGTAGGAGAGTGGCCGAAGGCACTTTCGAAGCGGAGGCAAGTGAGGGAGCGAAGTGAAGGGATTGTGGGCCGGGCAGGGGACACGGGCAGGCCGGAGCCCTCTGAGCGGAGGGAGCGGACAGGTTGATATGGGGTTAGGTCAGAGAGGTAGGAGGCCCAAGGCAATGGAGGACCTTGAAGGCAAGGACAAGAATTTTGAACTCGATCCTCTGAGAGATGGGGAGCCAGTGGAGCTGGGTGAAGGTGGGTGTGATGGGATCACGGAGCCTGGTGCGGGAGTGGACACGAGCTGCAGAGTTCTGGATGTGCAGCTTGTGGAGGGAAGAGTTGGGGAAGCCGACAAGCAGGGAGTTGGCATTGTCGAGCCTGGTTGTAACAAAGGCATGTATAAGGATTTCGGCGGCCTGAGGGTTGAGGCAGTAGCAGAGGTGGGGGAAATGTCACGGAGGTGGGGGAATGCATGGAATTCTCAGTTTGGTTGAGATACTCTTATGCATGGTGATGTCAGACACCCGGCTAACCCAAAAAAATCTTCTGAAGGCTTTCTTTTTCTTTCTACAGTTTCTCACTTCAGAAACTGTGTAACAGGAATAAAGCCTACACTGTGTTACTTGGCTGCAGCTCACACTCACATGTTGAAGTTGTAGTGACCTGGGTAGTTGGTATGGAGGACAAACTTCTTCACCTGATGCATGGTGGCATCAAACAGGACGTCCTGTTGTGCAGAGAGGGAGAAGGCGATGTACAATGAGAAAGAAATGATAGCTGGCAAATTGAGCGACCAAAACAAGCATGCAGATACTCACCACTCCCAGGGTGAAGTAGTTGAAAAAGTAGTCATTGCACTTGGAAGGAACCTGCTTATGGGGGGAGGGAGAGTGGATTTTCATCTGCAGAAGAAAATAGAAAATCTCTTTAATACCTAATGACTGTATCCAGCCACTGAGCTTATTACACTGAAGAGGAACAAATCTACACGGTGTCCTCAAAGTCCAGTTACCTCCATGTATTTTTTCTCTACAGTGCACTGACCAACAACTGAAACAAGTGGAAGAATGATGATAATTGTATTTAGAAGTACTTAATTGTATTCAGTACAAGTTTTTAACTGTATTTAGAAGTTCAGAAGATCGGTGCATGTGTCATCATTTTCATGGCAGATGGAGTGAGGAGGCAAAATGCTTCTCTGAGTTTGTTTCAGCTCCTCCGTAGTCTCAGATTGCTGTTTGTAATAGGGGAGTAAGGGGACTTCGTGGATATCCTGTACTTCAATATTCATAAGAAATCACAATAATCAACGTGTTAGTTTCAACAACAACAAGATTTCATTTATAGAGCGCCTTTCACGTCGGGAGGACGTCCCAAGGCGCTGGACAGTTGGATCAGGACCCGAGCAATGGGGAAATGGTTAGGGGGAGGGAAGGGAGGGAGCGAGGAGGGGGTAGAGAGTCGAGAGGAGAGCTGAAGGCTCGGTCAAAGAGAAAGGTCTTGAGACCGGCCTTAAAGGAGGAAAGGGAGGATAAAGGCGTGGACCAGTTTCAGCAGCGTGAGGGGTGAGGTAGTGCCGTAGTCTGGCGATGTTTCGGAGGTGATGGAAGGCAGTGCCAGTTATGGCGCGGATGTGGTTTCAGTGCCAGTGTTCCCTCAGACTCATCAAAATTCATCTCAACTTTGCAACCCGTTCTTGGCTGTGGTTACAGTTAGATTTAAAAAATGAAAACTGAAATTGTACGACAGTTATTTAGGGCACCACAATACAAAATATAAAATAAAACTGAACCTTAACAACAAAATTACATTTGTATAGCGCCTTTCACGTCTGGAGGACGTCCCAAGGCGCTGGACAATCACTGTTTCGGACCTGAATTGGGGGGTCGGAATCTGGAAGGGTGGAGGGCGGGGTGGGGGAGGAGGGTGACCGAAGGCACGATCGAAGAGGAGGATCTTGAGACGGGTCTTGAAGGAGGCAAGGGAGGCCTGGCTGGATTCCTTGTCTTCGCTGAACAGAGAGAAGCTAAGGAGTGGTGGCGACAGGGGTCTGATTCTGATCATTATCCAGAAACCCATCCCTAGTCATTGGATTCAATTCCCGAGGGAAAAAAAAAACTCTCAGTAAATGTATTCAGTCTTGGTGAGACAAACTGAACCCAGATGAGTTTATTGGAGCATAAAATTTAATCATCTGTTGCCACACAGACAATAATGGATTGACTTCAAGAGATGGAGGAACAATCATCCCCCTGCCTTGCTCCCTCCTTGCCCAGCTTGTAGTTGAGCCTAAAGACATTCTTCTTCGACAGTGTCTGCGGTCACCTCCCCCCTCTCGGCGTTTGCTCTGCCACTGTCGAGCGCTCTGGGACGATACCCTGCATGGGGGTGCCTTATATAAATACAAGTTGTTGTTGTTAATAATTCTTGCATTTGATATAGCACCTTATGCTGTTGATACTTATCAAAGGGCTTCATAGAAATATACTGTAAAGTGAATCGACTGTGGGCGAAACGCGGTAGCCAATTGCACAGAGCAGTGTCCCACAAACAGTCGCGGTTTGAGTGACCAAATAGGAGTGACAGAGTCTGCCCCGCCCCAGACCTTATAACTGAGAATTATTACCTTGTCCTCCGATTTGTAGAATACTTTGTGTGGTGACCCCAGCGCACCCAGCACATCCTGACAGGAATCACCAAAATACACACAGCGTTCAAACACATGCATCTTGGTATCTGCCAGCACCCCAGGGCCACAACCTGCAACCAGCAAACACAGGCTAGAATAACCTTTACACAACTCGGTGCCACGGAGCAAATCATCAATTCAATCAACGCCGAGACACGTTTACCGAGACAGGAAAGTGTAAATACAAAACAGCTAATTGACGACACAACAAACAGGCAGCGTCAACGCTCTTCACTTTGGGGAGACGGATTTCAGGAATAAATTCCGAACAAACCCATTGCAGTCTCGGTTGGAACGGCGAGTGAGTGAGCGACTCTCTGTTGGAATGGTGAGTGAATGAGTGAGCAGAGACCAGCTAAAACGGCCACCAAAACTCTCGCTCTCCAATTGCCAGCTAGAGCCATGCTGACGGGGCCCATGGGCAAAATCACCCTTCACACAATCAATTCTAAATCACTGCTGTCACCAATTAATGGAACCAGACTGTGTGGGTCTGTTAAACTTACTCAGTTTGGGATCACTTTACTGCCTATAAATGGGTCACTCGGCCCTACCAGGGAGTCTGCGAAAATAGGCTTGAAATGAGACATTCCATTCCGTTGCACGCGGGGAGAGGTTCAATACAACTCATGAAACCAGCAAGCTATCGGAGAAACATTGCGGAGCTGCCAAATTATTATATAAAAGTCCCTCTCTCTTTACTCGAGTGAAATTCTACCACGCTGGATCTCATTGATACGCTTTTGCAATGTGCTCCCCATTTTCTGGCTTTTATCAATTATAAATATAATCCTTGCAGTTGATATGCCGCCTTATCATGTCATTGAAACATCTCAAAGCGTTTTGCAGGATATACTGTAAAGTGAATTGGCTGTATATTTTGTGGGCAAAACAATTAGATAAAGGGCTCGTCCCCACTTATCTCTGCTCAACTGTCCCAACCAGAGCATTACAAGCCTCACAAAGCCAGTACTGTGCAGTGTGTGTTGAAGAACAGACAGACACCGGCACCCGCCTTGAGAACCTTTCACTTCAGTTCCCATTTTAAGTCAGTAACTATGACAACCCAGATAATATTCATCAAGAAAGCACATAACCCAGCACTCTGGGGAGCACTTTCAGGAAGACATGAACTCCTCCCGGAATAAATAAATAATAGCATGTCGACCGCGATGGGTTGTGGAGAGTGAGCTCCAAATGCATAGCAGGGATGTAGCGAGACAATGGGAGGTCAGGCAGAAGTGTACAAAGATAAATAGCACATGAAGTCTTTTAGAATCAACTTCCCTGAATCCTGCACTCAAGCTGTTTTCAGCTTATGCAAAGCCAAGCTCTCTTCCATTTATCAGTGCGGGAGAAATCCCACACAGCGACATACAGGAAACGAACAGTAACGATCAGAATAGAGACACAAACCTGAACCATTTTCTCAAAGAGGCGGGTTTTAATGTGGAAAGCAACATTCAGTAATTGAGACAGCTCGCACTGACATGGTACAAAGAAACAGAGGCCAAATGCTGTGCCATACCAATGTTCCCATTCAATCTGTCTGCATTGCTCCTGTAATGCCTCAGGCAATAGCTTCAGACAGGACTGCTCATCACAAATTCTGACAACAAAAATCTAAGTACTTTTACAACTTCACATTAGGTCAGACGCAAGAGGAAAGTAGACAGGCATATGAAAAAGTAGGGCTTGAATGGGGTACGGGGATAAGGCAGGGCGGGATCAAATCAATCTTCTTGCTCTGTGAGCCTGTGGCTACATGAGCCGAATGGCCTCATTTAGTGATTTAAAATATTTTATTGCAATTGTTGACTGCTAAACCATTTTGTCCTTCAGTTCATATTTGCATGGTTCCCTGGTAAACAAATGCAATGCAATGAGATGGGGAATGGGCTTTGAACAGCGGCTTGCACTGAGGATTGGGCTGTGCTCAGTCGCATTTCCAATAACTTATGCCCTTCACACGCTGCGGTGGCCACGGTTTGACACTAAGCTGGGGAGAAAGGGTAGGTGACAATAGGTGCGGTCGAAAAGGAAAGTCTTCAGATGCAATCTGAAGACAGGCAGGGTGGAGGGATTGAGGCAAAAAGTTCCAGAGGTTTGAGGCTATTTTGCTATCAGGCGGTAACTTGGGAGTTATCCCCCATTGAATCACAGTGCACAACACTCAGAGAGCAGTGTTCATTTTGGTTCTTGTGTAAGTGAGCAATTGAATGTTAAAGGTGGAAAATGCCATGTCCCTCCCCAACCCCGCACCCCACCTCAGCCCACTCTAAAACATGGAGGGAAAATAGTTAGACGTTACCTGCTGTCAGCAATCGCAGCCGGAGGCCCAAGGGTCCAATTGCATCTCTCAATATCTCAACAGTCTCTGCATACACATTACCATAGAAACAGCTCAGTGGCATCAAGGGAGCCCTATAAATATAAAAGTCAAATTGTCACACTTAATGCACAAGCAGCTTAGAGAAACTCCCACCAATATCCAGACCACAAATGGATCGGTGGGTTTTAAAATCTTCCGACGGCAAAGTGGTCTATCGATTAGGAAATAATACTCTACATACATGCCTCTCGTCTTACTAAATGTACATAGCAAGCAACACGCATCTGCAAAGCAGGCCTACATTGTTATCAGAAGCCTGTGGAGCTGGCAATAAAGGAAGCCCCCACAAAAAATTCTCACTGCAAAGCCAACACCCTTTGAATAGCTGCTGACAGTTTGCTCGAGCAGAACTAAATACACTCTTTTTGCAGCTGCCCACTTTTATAAACAGCATTCAACAATATAATTTCACCCAAACCTCCCTTCTGTAAGTGGTAAACATGGAAAGCATGTGGAGTCTATCCACAGGTTCTGAGCAGTCTCTACAAGGCAGCTCTAACCTGTACCTTGCATCCATATATAATCATAGAATATTACAGCACAGAAGGCCACTCACCCCATTGAGCCTGTGCCAGCTCTTTGGAGAGTGTGTGTGAAAGAAAGATTGAGAGGGAGAGAGTGAGAGAAAGAATGTGAGAAAGGGTGCAAGAGAGAGAGACAGAGAGTGTGAAAGAGATACCTATAACTCCACCTACACCCAGCTCAGCACTGGGTAAACTTCATACTTACCCAACTGGTATATTCAGCACAATGCTCAGTCTCCTGCTCTTATCAGAACCTTCAACAAAGGCAACCAACAGACTCTTGAGGGATTGATATTGTGCGTTTGCTTTTGTGCTGGGGGGTGATTTAGAGGGACAATTGCATTCAACTTAACACATGTTATTGAAATGCAAGGCAAGACTCCTTACTTTGTGTCTTGTAGGCTGTTTGCAGTGTATATGTACATGCGTTTCACAGTAGCACCATGTGGGATCTGCAGCGAGGCTAGGCCGTGAGCAAATTTGGGCTGTTTGAAAACAAAGAACACAAGGTGATCAGAGATCGCAATAAGACAACAGTAAAGTGCATCGAGGTGAATTCATCAAGACCAGAGTGACACTGAGCCCACACATACTGCAACATCCTAAGCTTGCTCCAAACGAGATGATCTCAGAGAGGTTAGCAGTTAGACGTTCAACAAATGTTCTATCTTTGGAGTTGAGGTACAAGTCAGCCATGATCTAATAGAATGGTAGAACAGGCTCAAGGGGCTGAATGGCCTACTCCTGCTCTGATGTTCCTATGATCCTAAATGTTCTCTGCATCTTCAGGTTAGAAAAGGGGGAAAAAGCACCCAGTTTCCTCTCCTGATCGTTATTCAATGACCGACTGCTGCTGGAAGACGAGCATATGTGCATGTCAGACCAGACAACGATGGACTCAACAACCAGTAGTGGTCTAGCTTGTTGCCACTCACAGCCTATGCTCACACATTAACAACGGTCACTTAGGAAAGCTGTGGGAAATAGCCTAGGGAACTGGACCCTAATACAAGTTAATTGCTGATTTTTACATTGAAAAAAATTCAGAATCACACTCCAATTATTTGGGCAAACCCTGTCCTCCTTCACGTTTATTATTATTACAACTCTTCTTCTCCCACCCACACTACCGCCACACACACTCACACATACACACACGTGTGATCAGTCACGATGGGTTAACAACCGACTGCCACACGGCTGAGAACAAAAACCTTTGCCCTGAGTGTGGGTACGGAGCCATGAGTGGGAGTCCCAACAACAGCCCACAGACACAAGCCTTACCTCAAATTTAGGAGCTTCTTTCCAAGAGTCCAGTTGGAAGGAGAAGGAAAGCCCTCGAAAGTTGAGATGAAAAAGCTGTTCAGCGGCATTGTACACTGTGACGGAGGGAAAGGGGAAATGAGGATTAGCAGCAACAACAACTTGCATTTATATAGCGCCCCTCAGGCACGGTAGCATCCCAGAGCGCTTGACAGGGGCAGAGCACGGCTCCGAACCGGAGATGATGGTAAGAACGGTGCCATAAATAATAAAGTAAGCTTTAGTCTGCTGTATGACTTGGCAATTGAACAGACCTATTTGCACCCCTCATACACACATATTCATACATCAAAACTTACACACTGGAGAATCCCCTCTCTATCATCCTCCAGCTCACAGAGCTGTGAACTTTCAAATACTTGAGAACCTGACTGTGCAGAAGATCGGGGTCCATCTGTCTGTCTGTGTGCATCTCTCTCTTTCACAGGGGGGCTACAGGTCTGGAGTCCTGTAGCTCAGTGGTTAGAGCATTCGCTTTGCAAGCGAGAGACCAGAGTTCAATTCCAGGCAGAGGGCGAAACCTTGGGCAAGTTTCCTTACTCCACACAGAGCCTAATAATAATCCCTCCAAAACAAAAAACAATAATAAATTGGTCATTTTCAATCTACGACTGTTTGTGGGACATTGCTGTGCGCAATTGGCTGCCGCGTTCGCCCACAAATATACAGTCAATTCACTTTACAGTGTGTTCTGTGAAGCGCTTTGGGACGTCCTCCCGACGTGAAAAGCGCTATATCAAATGCAAGGATTATTATTATTATACTCACGCACAGACAGTGCATCTCACACATACACAACGCCCTGTGCAACTAGGACACAATAGGCCTGTAAAATCCACTTACCTCCAGGGTGAGTTGCTCCAAATGACTGGTCAATCTGCTCTATGGTTGGAGCTATAGCCTGAGAGTTGAAGTGTACACCACTGCAACACAATGGGACAACATTCAGAAACCCCCCCCAAAAGACAAACAGCACCGAGACTCGCTTAACAGCACAACTTGGCACAAAGGCAATACTCAACTTCCCTCTGACATAGACCCAGCACAGCTATCAATCACGTTGCAAGAGAAGGTTTAGCATCCCTATTCTCAGTCACCACCCCCCCCCCACCCCCAACAACTTGCATTTATATAGTGCCCTTCATGCTGGATAGCGTCCCGGAGCACTCAGTTTTATTTTGTGGCTCGTTCCCCCTCACCCAAATACTTTATGAACAACATTGTAATATTTTAAGACGTAGCATTTAAGCACCACCATCATGGTTACAATGTTTAATGTTATTAAAAGAATCAATTACATATAAAGTCCACTGAATGTTATCGAACCTCCAAAACCTTTTGAAGTTCCAGTTAGGAGATCTAGAGTTGCACTGACTATCTTGACACTGTGAGGAAAGAGAACACCACTGCTGTAAGCTCAGGCCAGTCTCGTCAGTGGAGCTCCAGGATGGCTCGATTAAACAATACTCTAAAAATTAAAAATAACCTCAATGTATACTGGGCTTCCCAGTAATTCACAATATAAATCTGGCATTGGATAACCCAACTCACTCAATAACCTGAGATTGCTTAATCTCAATAATAACAAGCAAATCAATACATAAACATTAAGGTCCAATCTATGTATCAAATGTTAGTTTCAGAAGATTAATACTGTCCGACTCACAGATCAAACTATCGCCACTCACACCAGACCCATTGTCAAAATAGTGCAGGAGAGAGAGAGAGAGGGGGTTTGAATTAAATCAGCTAAAATTTCCAATCCTGATCAGTATCCACTAACTAGTTTGAAAGATCACACGCGTCTGCCCATCAGCCAAGGTCAGCAGCCGGCTGGGCTGCTGTGCTCTCCCCATGGTTGCCCAGCTTGTGGATGCCAGGCTCACACATGAAGAACGGCTCTTGGCTGAAGCAGCCCAGGGCAACCGTAGCACCTCTGGACGGATCCAGGAGGAATCTGCTGCAGTAATGCCAGTTGTCTGCCACTGGAGGGCAGCCCAGCTCTACTGTTCATCAAGGCTGAAATCCAGGACTGCAGTCACACCGCGCGGGAGACCACGGAAAATACCAGAGAATCCAAACCCTACTCTCAGTGAACTTTAAAAACATACAGGTGCACCTCACTGAACTCTAACCCCACTTCCTGAAGAACGAATTTGAGACGCCTCCCATCGAATCAAATTGTCACGGTATTTATTGGTTTTGCAGTACATGTTGTGTTAGACACAGGAAGCTACATGTATGTAAGGTTTGCTGGACATACTGGATCCTTAGAAATGATTGTGCTCATTAATATCCCCTATTGTGAGAGCTCTCTTCTAATTCAGCAATTTACAGCACAGGGAGAGAAGAACCATATAGAGGAATACAGTATAGAGGAACCATACAGTGTGAGAAATCAATGCTCTGCCCAGTGTCAACCACACATGGACAAAGAGGTGGCATGAAGATATGGCACACAGAAGCACACACAAGTTCTGCCACTCAGCCCTTGGCATGGTACTTTGGAATGGAAAGATTTAATGAGGTACTCAGTGTTTTGTAATCAAAGACGTAGAAAATGACAGGCTGTAGTCAAACACCGTGGTCTGTCTCATCGTAGTATTTCTTTCCAAAATATGGTTCTGCTGACAGCAGCATCCCAATACTTCACCCAGGCAGCCAGTCTCCACATCTGAGCTTTAGTAGCAGGTCTTCACACCAAATCCATTTCTAACAGGTGTTTGTGAACAGCAATGAGGAGCAGTGGGTCCTGGCTAATTTTCCTGCTTCGTTTGCCCAGGGAGGGCCATTCAATACATTCAGCTAATTCACTGCAATCATGGAGTGAAACGCCAACTTCCTGCTCAAAACCACACGTGTGATGCATTTCTATCCACTGAATCATCATGGCACCCTTTGGAGGGTTGAGAGGAAAATAACACAAGCAATTTGGCATCCTTTTACTCTATATGGAGTGGAGTCCTGTAGCTCAGTGGTTAGAGCACTCGCTTTGTAAGTGAGAGACCTGGGTTCAATTCCAGACAGGGCGAAACCTTGGGCAAGTTTCCTTACTCCACACAGAGCCTAATAATAATCCCTCCAAAACAATAATAAATTGGTCATTTTCAATCTACGACTGTTTGTGGGACATTGCTGTGCGCAATTGGCTGCCGCGTTCGCCCACAGATATACAGTCAATTCACTTTACAGTGTGTTCTGTGAAGCGCTTTGGGACGTCCTCCCGACGTGAAAAGCGCTATATCAAATGCAAGGATTATTATTATTATTATTATTATTATATACTGCAGCATCCTTTGAAGGTGTGTCCAGGAGTCTATCAATGCACATTGTACCCCTACAGTAACTAACCCCCATCAATCCACATTATACCCCTACAGTAACTAACTCCCATCAATCCACACTGTACAGCTACAGTAACCCGCAGCTTAAAGGACACTGGGTACCCCAAATTTGTACCTAGTTGCAATGGGCCCAAAACTGAACAATTTGTAAAAGATTTCCGTGGGCCTGCATGTGTGTAGTGTCCCACCAGCCCACGTCCTAGTGCTCGTCTCCTCTCTCACCGTGGGTTTGGCCTTCAGTTGCCAGGCAGTGATGTCGAGTTTGAATCAATTTTAATCACGAGAATAAACTATCTTCTGCTTGCGAGATTCAAACAGTTACAATGCAGGTACGCCATAGTCAATAGTCGGATCTCTCTCCGGCTCCCCATTGATCCGGCCAGCTGGTGTTTTACTGTATGTTCATGCCTCACACTGTACATTTTGGGATCTATGGAATTTCAGCAATATTACTCACCAGTATTTCAATTTAACTTTGCTCAAGTCGTAAACTTCAATCACCTGGAAAGCAAACAAGAGAGACAAACAGGTCAGCTATCAACACAGTGTTGAACCCGGACCCAAAAATACAGTGTTAGGTTTGGAGAAGCATAATAGTCTCACTGTTTACACTACAGATACTTAGTATTCCCCTCTTTCAATCGGGTAGCAGAGCTATGCCTAGCTCTCAGTCAGTGCTGCTTGTACAAATAAGGGGATTGAATGTGATTAGTGTGACCGATTATATGATTCACCAGATTATATAGATATAGAATCATAGAAATTACCGTACAGAAGACATTCACCCCATCACCCAGGTCATCTAGAGAGCTAACTACTCTAGGTCCAATTTTCCTCTCTTTCCACAAATCCTTTTATTTTCCTTCCTCTTGTATTTCCAGAGATAAATGCAACCTTGGCTGCACAATACACTGGGTGGACATGAGGACAGGTAGACGGTAAACCATACCACGTGCTGAAATAGTGTGGCACATTGTTACATGCCGAAACACATACAGCGGCAGTGGCAAGTAAATCTAGGCTTTTTTTTGTTCAGCCAGGTGCCTGACACATACGGAAAGCCATCATCAAGCTTAAGAGTCTCCAAACCAAGCTGAGATTTCCACGCACCCAGCCTACACATGGAAATTCCAGAGATAAATTGTTGGAGGGACGCAACTTGCTTACCTAATTCCAGAAAGTACTAGGCGCAGGTTGACAAGAGCCAAGACTCGGGGACCCCAGAGCGTGCGTTGGGGTACTGCTGGAGTCTAACCAGCTAAACCGTATAGTTTGCCATTGATATTGCTGTCTGGCAAGCTTTCCCTCTGATTGTCCAGCTAGGATCACTCTACCAATCAGGGCTTTGGCTTGCATGGTTAACAGGACCTGAGTGGGATGACTCCTTGCCCTCAGTGACTGGTCTGCCCTTCCAGGACTTGCCGATGAGCCAGGCTGGGCAGTCATCAGCAGTGCCCTGGAATACTGCGGACCCGCCTGGCTCAGGAACCGGACTAGAGGCCGCCACATAGGGCTGGCTGCAATCCGATATTCCACTGCCAGGCATGTCACATCGGAGCCATTCACGGTGCCCAAGAGAATACTGCAAACAAAGGTGACGGCTACTGAGTGTTACAATGATACAGTGCAGGCTCCAGCCTGGAGGCTGCAGTCACAAACCATTAGTTGTCACTACCACTATAGAATACGTGTGAGAGCCTGGCAACTATACAGAAGAGATAACCCGAGGAAACAGTGCAATGTACAACATATTCAGCATCTGATGTGCTTAGCTCAGTAGTCTCTTACCAGACTGTGCTCATACTGTTATTGACTAAATGTGCTGGCCCAGGGCCAGGAGCCACTGAACTTCACTACAATCAGACGTACTTAATAACTGATAACACTGCTCACTCGGGCATTGCCCCAAGCCAAGGATTGAGCTTCGCAAATGCACTTTGCATGCACACACACACACGCACACACACACAGTACTGTCGTCACTAATGGACAGCAAATGTGAGAGGAGTTATTTGCAACAACACAAGCTTGTTTCTGGAGAAGACTATAAACGCTTGCAATTTAAATTCAGCTCAGTCATAGACAATAATCACTGTCTGGCTTTCAAACTCCAGAATATCTGCTCCTTTGTCGCACCCCAATGAAACGTCGAGCACTTGGCAGGGCACAGGCGCAGCTCTGCCAAATACCCCTTGATAAAGAGATGGTGTAACTGTACTCAACAGCTGCTCCTGGAGCGGTTACGTTTGGCTGGTGAAACTGGAATCTGTCTGGTCTGCTTTAGGTATGAATTTTCCTTCTCCTCCTCCTCCCCGCCACCCTGCCCCCAGCATGTTGAGGAATGTTTAGCTGTGTGCAGTTCATGTCTTTGTAAGCAAGTACACACAAGAACAGGATGTCCCTTCATGCCTTTGCTGACTGCTGGTATCGTGCTTATGCAGAGTCACTCATGCCTTCGTTATGTGGCTGGCTGACCTTCCACAGGCAATTTTAATTATTCTTGGCTGTTGTGTAACAAAATGTAGAAAACCATTATAGACTGATTGACCTAGTGCATCCACCCTTCACCAAGATTTTCAGGATCATTTCGACCCACTTGGCTTTAAATGTTCTGTTCTCCCTCTTCTCTCTTGAAGGCGTCAACTCCCAAACCCTTACAAAATGCCCACAGGCACCATATTGCTAACGCACAACTCAGATTAAATCCCAGTTTAATTTATACCTAGTTGAGCAATGGGAGCTGACTACTTGCACAAACACTGACACACACCGTGTCAATGCATAGAACATTTCAATTGGTCTGAGTTTAACCTTTAAAAAAAATCCCCTTTTGACAGTTTTAGCTTAATCAATGGACTAACAAACGATTACACACATATCGTAAAACACTGTATTTAAATCAATATGCATCGCAAAATCAATACCTGCACTTGGCAATGCTATAATATGCTTTCAGACACTAAAATTAGGTTACAATGCGCTTCATTATAACACTGGTTTGCATTGACTGACCAAAAAAGATTAAAACGCACTCGGCAATTCGATCAGCTGTTCAAAATACTGGTCGGAGCACGAAAAGCCAGACATGGCGAGTTCCAGGTTATCCAGTTGCCACCAACATCACTTCCTGTTTGCTGCGTGTGTGTGTGTGTGTGTGTGTATGGTACGTTTGAAGAGACATCAGCGGTGGGTGACTGGATGACCCCAAAGTCAACCATTTGGATTATTTACATGTTGGCCAGAGCAAGTGGATGCAGAAGAGTTGACTGGTGATCATGAACTATTATACCACTGGTTAAGATTTTATGGATCCCAACGACGGCATTAGAATAAGGCTGTACTGCACAAAAAGCAATTAAATGTAAACACTATCTTAATCCAACACTACTGCTTCCCTCATATTATGTTGGATCCTAAATCTGTCCCTGCACACAGAGGCCAGTAAACCATGAGTACAAGGAACAGACTCATCTATTGTCGCCATCCCACTCAACCTTCAATGAAAGAAACATCTCCTAACAGGGCCTTTATGCAACAAATCTAGACTGTTCAGCAATCAGGACAGAATCAGGCTCGGCTGTGGTGCCCTCTGTGATCAAATGCCCTGCCAAGCCTCACCGCTCAAGGCTCAAGCATGAATAATAGCCACTTGTGCTGGTACCAGTACTGCACCCCAGTAAAAGGAGAGTCAAAATGTCAAAAAGGAAATATGGAAAAAAAATAATATAAATTGCATAGAACAAGATAATATTGAATTTGGAGTCCAGAAAAGTGAACAACTGGAAGCTCAGTGTTATTCTTCCCATACAAGAGGACAGAAAGTGAGAAACTGGAACAGGAACTAGTTGAACAGCCAAAGAACAGCACTGGATTAATTTAACGAGGATTAAGTTAGGAGAGGGATGGTGACTGGGACACAGAGATTACCTCCCGTCAAATTCATCCTCCACAAAACCATACATATAACCCTCAAACATAGGAGCTATCGGGTTAACATTTTTTCTTACGACAGACTCGGGGCCACAACGGTGATTTTCTTTGGTCAGCAGGTATCTGACATGCAGAAAACCATGGCCATGCTAAAGAGTATTCAAAATAGAGTTCCACATCTGAGTGCCACCTCCGGGCAGACATTTATTTCCCTGTGATTGGGAACCACATGACACTGCTCCAAACACAAGGCCTGACTTGGAAATGCTCATTGCTCAGAAGAGACGGGCCTGAGCAGCACTGCCTGGTCCATCCATTGCATTGCCCACACGGAAATGTTTTGCAGACGGTTTAGGAAAATCTTGCGGCATATTGGCTCAGCAAGCGGCCACAGCCGAACAGCTGAGCTCACATTTTGACCAGCAATTCAAGAGCAGTTAAACAGTAATCATCAGAAAAGCGTCACTTTGGCCTTCTCTCCCACGCTCCCCATAAGCTGCTCAGGAACTCAAATAGTCTAAGCTGGCACTCCAGTGCAGTGCTAACAACGTGCTGCATGGTTGGAGGCGCTGTCCTTCAGATGGGACATTAAATTGAGGTCCCGTCTGTCTGTTCAGCTGGACAAGGACCTCAGTTTAACGTTTCATCTAAAGCATTATTTGAAATAAAAAGGTTTTCCCAGATGACTTGGTCAACAATCTCCCATATAAAATTGGTTGTTTACTATATGGCTGTTTGTGGGACATTGCTGGGTAGAAAATTGGCTGCCGCGTTTGCCTACAAAATTACAGTTACTACACTTTAAACTAAATTCTGGCAAGTGCTTAGAGACTTCCAGCTAATGTGAAAGCCGCTAAATCAAACAAAAGGATTTTATTATTAACAACAACCTTTGATTATTGATAATAAAAGAATGAAAATTTAAACAATCAATCGTTTACCAATGTAGTAAACAGTCTGAGCATTCAGCAGCTATACCAGTGTCACGGCAGGTCTCTTGAGACAGGTTCTCAATAGACCCACACACACACATTAGCTCAGAGGTTGCTCGTCAGTCAGAAAATCAACACAGATTGACTGACTGATTCTCAGGCAGCCTGAACTGTACACTCGGGCCATTTTTCTGATCAAAGAGGATTGTTGTGCTCCATATGGTGTTATCTAGTGTGTCAAAACTCGCCTCCTACCTTTAGTCTCTGGTTGTAAGCGTCAAAAAGTAGTTTGATTCCATCCTGAGTCAGATTAAGAATGAGGTCGTGGCTGAGCGGTGACTGTGAAGAGAAGAGATATAACATTAGCAAGTATTAGACTTTGTAGTTGATCCATTCAGTATGGGTTGGGTTACATTTTCAAAGTACCACTCAGTCTCAAATTCCAAGATATAATACAATTCAAATTTACATTTCTATAGAGCCTTTCACATCAGGACGACGTCCCAAAGTGCTCAACTGTACTTACAGGCCAGGCACCTGAGCTGGCGGTGGAAGCTGTGGGGTTTGGGGAAGGAAAACGTGGTTAAAGTGGTAGATCTCGAGATGGACTATGAATTCCCACCCGCTGATGGGGAGGGGACATAAAGCAGGCCAGAACTCACTGAGCGAAGGGAGCAGCCAGGTCAGTAAGGTGGCAGCATCCATTTGGGAGGGAATTGTGTATTTTTAAAAAAATCATCTTACTGACATCCTCTGTTGAGCAATAAACAGTGACCACATTGTCATTGAAGGATCATTAAAACTGCAGTAAGGAGAATAAATAAACGGTGGAAGCTTTCTGTACAATCCACTTGGATGACTGATGACAGCTGCCTTACAGTTTGATTAAACCCTAATAATTTCACTCTGTAAAGCACCATTCAGCTGTTTGTGATTTGCTTCTGTGTGCACAGAATAAATTAGCCAATTCAGCCAATGTGGCAGCATAACACCCTCCACTGTGACATGTTTAGAAATGAACCAGAGTCTGTCTTGATTAATATATTTAAGAAGAAACTTAATGCAAACATAGAGAGGGGATGAACATAAAGGAGAAGGGAAAAGCTGGGTATGGGAGAGGGGATGTGAGTGGTGCAGGATCACGTGGAGTAGAAACACCTTCACAGACTAGTTGGGCTGAATGGCTTGTTTCCGTGCTGTGATCTTCTATAGAATTCTATATAAAGGAAATTGAACAGGCTGGTGTTTCAGATCCCAGCTTCCTCAGCACGTGAAGACCTGAGCCCTACTGCTTGAGTCTCCATGCAAACAATTCCAGTTTAAGGCCAATTTTACGTCAACTCCATGGTCCAGAAAGTCTAAACATGTTCATTCACAAAACTGCAGAGCCTGTGTGCGTCCACCAACTCATAAACCCCAGGAACTCTACACAGTGGTAGTCTCGAATACACCCCAGTAACAGTGTATTCAAGGCAGTCACTGCCTTGAATAAACCACAGTAATTCGTCACAGCTGGAATTATACTCCCAGTAAATACAGTCAGATGGGATGACATCCCAAGTAATTCTCTATAGTGCCAGCTGGGATTCCACCCCAGTCACTACAAACTCACAGCCTCAAACACACCCCGGTATCTACCCACTCACAGCTGGGAATACATCCCAGTAACTCCGCACAATCATCAAAGTTGCTGTATGGGGCCCATACCCGACCCACTGTTCTCCAGGGTATCTGCCTGGCATAAGAGGTAACTCTATCGCCCCTGAGTAAGAAGGTTGTGAGTTCAAGCTCCATTTCAGGAATTTGAATTCACTCTAGTCTCGGCCGTCACTAGTACACTGCTGAGGGAGCACTGCAGTGATGGGAGATAACGTCCTTTGAATAAGATGTTAAATTGAGATCTGAAGAACATCACATCAACATTAAAGATCCCATGGCACTATTTGAAAAAGGAGCTACTCCCAGTGTTCTGGCCAATAATTGTTCCTTCATACGTGAAAGGCGGTCTATAAATGTAATTTTATTGTTGGTGGCAGTCAATCATTTCAAGGCTGTTTGTTTACTTACCCAGGTTTGGGAGCTACCATTCCACAACAATGATTAAACTCTGTTCCATAAATAAGGAAAGGAATGTGCACATTACTACAATTTCGACCCCAATGCTCGTTTTAAAAAAATACAAACAAAACTGCAAATAGCACAACCCATCACCCCATATACCTATCACTTCTCAAGGGCTCACTGAAAGTTTAACAAAAAGAAAAATCTGATCGTAATCTTGCATTTAAGTCCAGCTTTTCTCACTGTAAACAATCTCTGTATCACTCAGCCCACCGCTTCGTTTTGTTGAAGTGGCGAGTGCTGTTTTACAGACTGGGTCAGAGATAATTGAGACTCATCAACATTCACAACTAAAACAGCCCATGTTTATACAACCCTCTCCCACCAACCAGGCTATTGACCAGTTCTTGATGTCAAATGATCTCTCGTCTCTTCCATAGTCTGATCCCTCCCAGCCAGTGGTATCAACGTTCACATTTATGAGCAAAAAACATTTCTTAAATGAAATAAACAGATGAACGGGTTTGATTTGGGGCAAAATTCAGTTCAAGTGCCTGTTTGGGTGAATGAAGAGTTCAATTAAGGACCTAATTGGCAGTCAGCCAGGGACTTGTGAAACACTTTCCAAGCTGATGACTTGTAGGAAACTGGTGCAAAACACCTGACAGAGCAGGTTCTGATCACGTGCCTTCCTGAGCATAAAGAAAGAAGTTCATCATCTTTTCAAAAGGACACACAGCAGGGCCAGGTCTCACCCCACCAGTAAACCCAGTCTTTCATTCCCTCACGTAAACCCAGAAGACATGCAGAAAACATTCCTTTGTCCTTTACACGTGAAGTGGAAGTGGTGGATTGGGGTCTCAGCATTAAGTAGGAACCTGGTTGTTAGTCAATGAATTGGCTGATCGCTTTCCGGGGGTAATAAAAAAAATTGGTCACCAACTCCATGTAATTGCTGTCGTGTTTCACCCACAAATATACAGTCACTACAATTTACAATATATTCTATGAAGCACTTTGAGACGTCTCAACAATGTGATAAGGCGCTATATCAAATGCAAGAATTATTATTATTATTGTTATTCTCCTGGGAATAGATGATAGCCTCTGGCCTTTTCCCACATTTCCCTCTCAATGTTTCGATGTCGGATTACTAAGTGTGCTGGAAAACAAGCCTAAGCCATCACCCTCCTCTACAACTCAAATAGAGGTGGATTCAAACTCACTGACTCAATATAACAGGGTCTGAATGTGGATTAGTGGAAGACGATCATGAGAACAAGTAGCTCACTGCCCACTCTCACTAGGGTAAACCTATTTCCCCAAAGAGGATTGGCACCATTTATTTCAGTGATGAGAAAGAGAACTAGTAACTGGCAACGAGCAACAATAATATCTTCAATCGCAACTGCAAATTCAGCTAAAATGAACAGATCAATACAATGTAGCTCTTAACAGTCGTGAAAGGCTTCCAAAGATCTTGTAGACATCAGACAGAGGCTGAAACTGAGGTAAGACAGACACTGCTGGTCTAACAAGTAGATATTTTTTATACAATTGCCAATGTTCTCCTTTAAATGCATCCCTGACCTGCCCATATACTCAGGAAGCAAGCGCAGTAAAATTCATTCTTTAAATGGATGCTCCTCCCATACCCAGTGGACAGAAACAAGGGAATAGAATTCATAATGGAATTCATTATTACAAGTGCCTATTGAGGTTGGATCAATAACAACAATAACAAAATTACATCTGTAAAGCGCCTTTCACGTCGGGAGGACGTCCCAAGGCGCTGGACAGACAGAGTTACGGACCCGAGCTGGGGTCCACAGAACAGAATCACTTAAACAGCAACTGGAAAAACTCTGAGAATTGAAAATGTTAAATTTATTCGAGGTTAGAGCTCCAAAGTTACATGAATAAATAATAATCCTTGCATTTCATTGAGATGTCTCAAAGCACTTCACAGAATATATTGTAAAGGGGATTGACTGTGTATTTTATGGGCGAAATGCAGCAGCCAACTGCTCACAAGTGTCTCACAAACAGTCGTGGATTGAGTGACCAAATTTATTGATTTATTGGAGGGATTATTATTCCCGGAAAGCAATCTGCCAATCAACTAACAACCGGTTTCCTACTTACTGCTAGGCAAACAGAGATTTGTGGAGTAAGGAAACTTGCCTAGGGTTTCGTCCTCTCTGGGAATTGAACCCGGGTCCTCTCGGTTTGCAAGGCGAGCGCCCTAACCACTATGCTACGGGACTCCACGTAAAGAAATGGATGTAAAGAAGCAAGACAATGGGCTGAATGGTCTCCTCTGCGTTTAAAGTTTCCAAGCACTTACCTGTTCGCTGTACAAAACCTGCACGTTTTTGATGATCCGACAGTGCTTTTGGAGAATTGCAACCCCCTGAGCCAGTGGCATTCCTGCAAAGACACACAGGCAAGACTTAGAACTGGTCGGCACAAAGTGGCCACAATTTCCAACAAGAAACTTTAGCAGAAAAATACTAACACAGACAAACATGTGAATAATGAATCCAGTCTCTGCTATGTGCACTCATGAAATCTGAATCGCTTTCCTGGACCAAAGGGGAAAATTACTGCTAAATTTGGTTAATCAGAGTTCATTGTACTATGTAAACCTGGGTCTCATGCGACTGGGCTAGGAACCACCAATGTCCCCAGAGACTGATTCAGAACTAGCCCTTTGCCACCAACCACAACGTATCTGTGTTTCAGTAAGATTAATTTCATCAACTTAGAGAGTGGGGGTCTGCATTAAAATTATACAAGTTTTAGTGAGACCAATGAAGTGACCTCTGCCAGAAAGTGCACAAGTGGGGGCAACAACAACTTGCATTTATACATTACCCTTCATGCAGTGTAGTATCTCAGAGCGCTTAAAACCTATTTGTATGGAGAGTGTCTAATAATAATAATTCTTGTATTTGATACAGCACCTTATCACGTCTTCGAGAGTTTTAAAGTGCTTCACAGAAGATAATGTAAAGTGAATTGACTGCATATCTTGTGGGCAAAACGCGGCAGCTAATTGCAAAGCAATTGTGGAGTCCTGTAGCTCAGTGGTTAGAGCACTCGCCTCGCAAGCGAGAGACCTGGGTTCGAATCCTGACAGGGTGAAACCTTGGGCAAGTTTCCTTACTCCACACGCCCAATAATAATCCCTCAAAAAAAACAATAACAAATTGGTCACCTCAATCCATGACTGTTTGTGGGACAATGCTGTGCGCAATTGGCTGTCACAGTTCGCCCACAAATATACAATCAATTCACGTTCCAGTCTAATCTGTGAAGCGCTTTGAGACATCTAGAAAACATGAAAAGCACTATTTCAAATGCAAGGATTATTATTATATTATTAACTTATAAAGCAGTGTCCCAAAAATAGTCATGGGTTGAGTGACCAATTTTCTTTTTTGAAGGAATTATTACTTCCGGAAAAGGGATCCACTAATCGACTAACAACCAGGTTCTTACTTACTGCTCGGTAAACATAGACGTGCGGAATAAGGAAACTTGCCCAAGGTTTTGTCATGCCGGGAATCAAACCCAGGTCTCTCGCTTGCGAGGCGAGTGCTCTAACCACTGAGCTACAGGACTCCAGAGCATACAGTTAAATCATGAGTCTTGAACACTAAGAAACACCTGTTGACATCAGGGGGAGGTAAGAGGAATACCATCAGACACCTCATATGTAGCAATACAAAACAAAGAAGCTATTGCAAGCCCTGTTGGGAAGATGCTCTTATTTTTCTTTGGATTTTGATTCTGCTGCTCACAAAGAATGACTGTTTGACTGTCAGGCTCCAGGCAAGCAGGAGAGCAGCAAGAGTCAGCAGCTTCAGATCAAGAGAAAAGAAAAATGGTAAAATCCCAAATAATCTGGTGATAAGGCAGCTTCAATAGCAGATTGAACTGCAGCGTTTTTGCAACAACAACTTGCATTTATATGGCACCCTTCACTCACACAGGGTAGAGCGTCCTAGAACGCTTGTCCATTTGAAATCACCCATTATGAACAGGTGTTCAGTGTAGAGGCAGAGGGATGAGAGGAGAGAGATGCCAGGGATAAAGGAACCAGGTGGATTGGGAGAAGGATAGATGAGGAGGATTTTGAAGGAGAGGGAGGGATGGTACAGGGTTAAATGTTCAAAGGAGTTTTGCAGTTCGACAGCTAAACAGCCACTGTGACGGCCTGAAGATAGACCACTGGGAGAATGTGAAGATGCTTACTGCTCAGAAATACCACTGCTGAAACCACTTATTTTGAATGGAAAGCATACAGTTACATCATGAGCCTTGAACACTAAGAAACACTGAATAACTGTGCACCAGGGAGAGGTATGAGGAACACTGCCTATGTAACAATAAACAATGAAAAGGCAATGGCAGCAAGACAAGCTCCCCAGATTGCTCATTAACAAAGAAGGCAGCCAGTACAGTTCTGGTCACCGCAATACAAAAAGGATATCGGAGAAATCGAGAGGATACAGAGGAGGGCAACCAGAATGATTGAGGGAATTCAGGGAATGGACTATGACTAAGTAAATTGGGTATGTTCATGCTGGAAAAGAGAAGATGAGAGGCGATATGATTGCTGTCTTTAAGATTCTAAAGGGGTTAGACAATATAGATCACAACAGGCTGTTTCAACTAGTCCAGAATACTAAAACCAGAGGACACGCCTGCGATTGAAAGCGGATAAGTTCAGAACGAATCTAAACAAACACTATGTTAGTGAACGAATAGTGAGCCTGTGGAACCGACTCCCTAGGGAAATGGTTGAAGCAAGTGTTGATTCCTTCAAACACAGATCAGATCGTTTTCTTTTAGGAAATAAAATGGGATATAGTACATGGGTAGTTTGGGACATATGTGCATGCGACTGCCAAGAAAGGCCTAGATGGAGCTTGTTTTTTTTCCGTCTAGCATTTATTATGTTCTTACGTACAGCACAAAGCCTCAGTCCAGAAAGTTAGGAGGCTTAAAAGTCACTGTGTGCTGAGGTACCTAAAGTAAGATCGTAATCAGGGCATTACAAATAGCATTAGCACTTGAGGACAGAAGGGGATACCTCTCGAGGATTTCCTCTCCTACTACCTATCTAGTGACTCCTGATGAAAGTGTGTGTGTGTGAGGACAGCATGGGGTTGAGCAGTGAGTGATGACCAACACCTTGCAACCCTCCTCCCACCCATCACCACTAGTCTGCCTTGGCTCAGACATGAACTGACAAGTAGAACCATATCTCAGCATTGAGTCTGTGTTTCCAATGAAACGGGAGTAGGAGAAGAGGGAGAAAATTGGAAAAAACATTTCTGACGGACAAGTAGATTTCAGATGGAAAGAGGTTCCCGATACGTTCCGATGATAGATACAGAGAGAGGAGACAAGATGCAGACTCCATCAGTGTTGAGATAAGAGATATAAGCACAGTCCCATTGGTCAAAAGGACTGACTCGAGGCAAGTCCCCATCTCACCATCATAATTTCAACGATAACAACAAAAACTTGTACTTATATAGCACCATTCAGGTCGGATGGCGTCTCGGAGCGCATTGATGAATAAATATAGACGGCTACTGATAATGACCCTAATCTTCTGTAAAACTCAAAGTGACGGGAATTTGCACCCAGGTCACAGGGAGGCTCTTGGAATACAAAACCAATAAGAGTAAGAAGCTGGTCAGTTTGTGCCAAAAGTGATATCAATAATGACTCAACAACCTGCACGTGGAACCAGCTGCCCGTTATAATAGATCTGTTATAATGCAGGTTCTAATTTTATGGTCTCAAACTATTGTTATTTAGATTAGAATCATCCTTTAGTGTCACTGGATCTTGAACGTGCACCTGAAGAATAGGCAGACGAATACCTTGGGATAACGTCTCAAACAAAAGACGGAATAAGATTCATCAAAGCAGACTCTTTAATTTTTCAAACAATGAAAATCCAGTATTGAAACATACTGGCTGTAGTGTAGGCCAACAAAATACAAGACAATACCAGCCTCTAAAACACATCAAGTAATCCAGAATAAAGGTGATGAACCTTCTCCAAGGTTTAACTAATGAAACAAGCAACACCTTTAGTATAAGTTACCAGAGTAAGAGAATTGTATATTAGGTTAAAATACTACTAATGATAATAATCCTTGCATTTGATGTCGCCTTATCACGCCATCAAAACGTTTCAAAGTGCTTCACAGAATTTAGTGTAGAGTGTAATGACTGTATTTTGTAGGCAAATGCCGCAGTCAATTTGCACCAGCAATATCCAATAATCATCCATGAAGTGAACAAACAATTTTTTATCTGATGGATTGTTGGCCAGGACTCTGGGAGAATTTCCCTTCTCTCTTCAAATAGTGCCATGGATCACAAACAGGCAGACAACACCTCGCGTTTAACTTCTCATCCGAGGTTATCACGAACAATAACATTGCATTAACAACCACCTGCATTTATATAGTGTCCTGCACGTAGGACAATGCAGGGGAGTGCAGTTCGAACAGGAGATGCTCAAGAATGAGGGCAAGAACCTGGACATCTGTCTATTCAGAGACAGGGAACAACTAACCATTACAGTATGTCAGTCCAGTACAAGTGAAATGTGTATTTTCATCATGACAAGAACAAACTAACATCAAAGCCAGATTCGTCTCCCTTTTCCTGATTACTGTCACGAAGGTTGATTATAGCACCATTTATATCTTGTCACTGAGTGAATCGCTGTGGATGCACAGATTTGGGGTCTCTGCCAGATATAACTCAGTTTTTACCTTGGATGACTGCCAGTCAGCTCCTGCTGCTGTACATGTGCTCAAATCACACCACTTCCAGGTGAGAATAGTCAGCAACTACACATTGCGCTCTTGGCCACCTCTGCCCTTTCCTGCTCCCCCAGCTCGGCTTGCCCAGTCAGCATTGTGAAGTATTGAAAGGTGCTACAGAAATGTAAATTGCTGTTGCTGTCACGTCAGCTGCAGAGACAGGGCAGACTTGCCAAGACTACTTTTACATTTGTCACTTCCATTACATGACATTTGTCGTTCTTAACACTAAATAACTGGACATATTTAAAGACGTTTCAATCTATGTCACCCCTAAGAGTTGTCTGATGTCTGATGCCCTTTCTTCTCCCTGCTCTTCTCCAGATGAACACACCGAAGAATTGGGGCCAAAGGGTTCACAATTCGGTTCCCTCAATTTGTCCCACTGAGTTTAAAAAGCTTTCCTTTTCTTCCTGTGAAGACAACCCCCTCCCCTCTCTCAGTGGAGGATCATCTCCGCTCCTACTCCATCTCACTGTAGAGACAGTCCCCAATTCCCTCCTCCCCACAAAACGGTCTCATCACCCCCACCCCACCCCTCACCACCCACTCCCGTTACAGACCCCACTCCTCTCCCTGCCCCCTTACAGGGAGACAGACCTCTGTACCACTCTTGTACAAACAGTCCCAGTCCTCTGTCTCTCACACTTCTGTCCAGATGACAGCCCTCACTCACCCCCTCCACAGTCCCCAGTGCCTACTTCTGCGCCCTCCCCCACTGCTGACAGTCCTTCCCCCCACTGTACAAACAGGCCCCACACTCTCTCTCTCTCACTTTCCTTCCCCCCCCCATCCCAGGACCGACAGTCCCCTACTCCCTGCCCACCCCCCAAATAGACACCCCCCCCTCTCTGTGCTGAAAGTTCCTCCCTCTCACATACATAGTTCCCCCCTTTCTTTCTCCTCTAGACACCCCCCCCCTCTCTCCCCCCCCCCTCTGTGCTGAAAGTTCCTCCCTCTCACATACATAGTCCCCCCTTTCTTTCTCCTCTAGACACCCCCCCCTCTCTCCTCGATGCAGACAACCCTTCCCCCCCCACCCCTCTCTCTCTCTATACATATACATACAGCCTCCACCTCTCTATACATAGTCCCCCCCTCTCCCCCCACCCATACACACACAGAAACACCCCCTTCTCTATACAGACAAACAAGACAACCCTCTCCTTCCCTGTCTCCCAGTTCCCCCCCCACCCAGTCCCCCATCCCCTCACCCTGTCCCCAGTCCCCCACCCTGTCCCCCACCCTGTACCCCCACCCCGTCCCCCCACCCTCTCAGTTCCCCCCACCCTGTCCCTCCCCAGTCCCCCCCCACCCTGCCCCCCAGTCCCCCCCACCCTGCCCCCCAGTCCCCCCCACCCTGCCCCCCAGTCCCCCCCACCCTGCCCCTCCCCAGTCCCCCCCACCCTGCCCCCCAGTCCCCCCCCACCCTGCCCCCCAGTCCCCCCCACCCTGCCCCCAGTCCCCCCCACCCTGCCCCCAGTCCCCCCCCACCCTGCCCCCCAGTCCCCCCCACCCTGCCCCCAGTCCCCCCCACCCTGCCCCCCAGTCCCCCCCACCCTGCCCCCCAGTCCCCCACCCTGTCCCTCCCCCAGTCCCCCCCACCCTGCCCCTCCCCCAGTCCCCCCCACCCTGCCCCCCAGTCCCCCCCCCCGGGCCCGGCCCCGGCCCGCGGGCCTGTGTATTTACCGAGCGCGAATTCCCATCGTTCATTCCCCAGTGACCGCTCGGGCACCACTTCCAGATCCAGCATTGGGCCCGACTGCAGGAGGGGCCTGGGGTCTGGAGAAGCCGGAGTGGAATCCCCCGCCGTGGGTCCCGGGCGGGAAGGCCGGGGGTGGCGGCGGTGTGTCCCGGCGGGGTCCAGGGGTGTCGCGTCGCCGTGTCCCCGGGTGTCAAGGCCGGGGGTGGGGGGTGTGTGTGTGTGTGTGGAGGAGGGGGACTCGCTCTCAATCCCGAACAATAACAGCCGCCGCCGCCATCAGCTGACGATCACACAGTGCCCTCAGCTCAGCCCTCTCCCCCCGGGGGGCGCCCGCGGTTCCTGCTGTCGGTGTCGGGAGTTTATTGTTTACTAAAATGTGCCCCACTCCCCTCCGCGGTGACACAGGCAGCGGTTGGGCCGAGCCATCCACCGCCTCTGTCTGGCCTCGTGACCAGCGGCCGCCGAATCCCCGGGCCCCGTGACGCCGACCGCCCCCTCACGTGACGCCCCGAAGCCGCCCTCGCCACTCTCCGCCTCCCCCCCACCACGTGATCAGGGCCTCCCTGGCGTCGGCGTCATCGTCATCGTCGTCGTCGTCCCCGGCTCGCGGCCGCAGGGCGGAGCCTGCGGTGGTGGTGGTGGTGGGCGGGGGGGGGGCAGAGTCGCCATGGTTACCGTGACGAATGCGGCAACACTTGTTGCCACGGCAACACGTCCTTAAAGGAGCAGAGGTTCTGTTACTCGGATTTATCTCTTACTGTTTCCAATGGCAACATCAGCATTTACACCCACCTCACGTGCGCCCACAAGCTCCTCACCCCATCGCCTGCGCTCCCCACACTGCCCCATCGCCTGCGCTCCCCACACTGCCCCATCGCCTGCGCTCCCCACACTGCCCCATCGCCTGTGCTCCCCACACTGGCCCCATCACCTGTGCTCCCCATCGCCTGTGCTCCCCACACTGGTCCCATCGCCTGTGCTCTCCGCACTGGCCCCATCGCCTGTGCTCCCCGTCTCCTGTGCTCCCCACACTGGCCCCATTACCTGTACTCCCAACACTGGCTCCATCATATTTATTTTTGGTCAGCCGAGTATCTGACCTCCTCAAGGCTGCCTGTACTTCCCGCACTGGTTCCATCGCCTGTACCATCCACATTGGCCAGCTCCATCATCTGTAATGCCATACTAGTTCCAGCGTCTATACTCCCCCACTGGCATATTGCTTTAAGCACCTATACTCCCTGCATTTGGACACTGGTTCTAGCGTGTATCCCCTCTTCCCTTCCCCAGGCTCCCTTCCCAGTGGGTGTACGCTCCACATTTGGCAATTTACACATACTTATACGCTCATTCTAGCATATGAATTCCCTGCATTTGCACTTTCTGCTGTGTACCGTTGGCACTTGCACACTCGTTTTAACAGCAACCTCCTTTCCTCTTACACATTTTCCCCCTGACCAGAGAATTGAAATAATATCCTGTGATCATGCAGGTCTCAACCACAAGACCTACATATGGAAGGTGTGGATCATGTTTATAAACCATTAATGTTTGCTAAATCCTGTGTGTAGAGATTGGTAATTCTCCATCTGTTACAGTGCAGAAATACCAATAGTTCAGCCTGTGGCCTATCGCAATGTGCTATTTCTGACAGGCTGATGTATATGTGGTTCGTTGGCAGGAGCAAAACTCTCATCTATCATTTCTTAACAAAGGATGCACCAATGAAATCACACTCTGTGAATATCCTCTTGTCACTTGGGGTTTTAAATTGTGTATGCTATTCATGAGAGGATTTCATAACCATTCATCTTCAGCCATAAAATAAAAAAAACCAAACATTCACAAGCTTCAACGGGGCTTGTATTTGAAACTTGATGTTTTATTTTCAAATAATATTCTTTGAATTGATGATACAGCACCTTATCACGTCGTTGAAACGTCTCAAAGTGCTTCACAGAATATATTGTGAAGTGAATATTTTGTGGGTGAAAATGCTGCACAAAAGGTACTGACATATTCAAGCATGGTTTGGTCAATCACTATTTAGCCACATCCACCTCACTGAAGAGACCTATTTTCGTGTGCAGTCTAGACAGTGATTGCTGACAGTTAATAAGCACCTTTCACATGAGGAGGATGTCCCAAAGTACTTCACACCATATGATTACCAAGTGCAGTGACTGTGCATTTAGGCTGTGGAGGGCAGCAAGCCAGAGTTCAATCCTGTTCTCAGCTGGGTTATTTTTGGGACATTGGTCACAGATTGGCTGCCATATTTGTCTACATGATATTCACTTCATCTACCAATTATAATTCTGTAAAGCACTTTTGAGACATTTTCACATGTAATAAATAAGGTGCTATACGAGTGCAAGTCAGAGTTGAGTTCCATAGATCGTGATTAGGGACTGTAACTCCAAGCAATTTCTCCCTTCTCTCGCCCAGTTGCCATGCCCCAACACACACCACACCTGAGATCAGCTAATTCAGATCAAATCTGGAACACTGCTCAGTTTAACGTTGGGCAGTGCTATTACCATCTGTGGCTTTCTTGTCATGTGCTTCTTTGGGATTTTTGCCACTCCTGAATAATTGCAGCATACTATGATTCAAAACCTCACACCATACAACATACTCTCTCACTCTGCCTGAAGGCACAAGGCTGCCACGTTGCTGCAGTATTTATTGACCCGTCTTTAACATGCATTCTCCATTTACACAAGAGATCAGATTCAGTTCAGATCTATTTATCCTAGCTGGAATCATTGTTCCTCTGTGTTTACATTGCAACTTGCCCTTCAAACAGAGAGAACATGGAAGGCGGAGAAAAGTGCTAAGTATTGAGCAGGTAATATTCTCTTATTTTAACTGGAAATCAAAACTCCAACCATCAATTTACATTCAAAAATTTGTGTCTCAATGCCATTATAATCAAGGTTTTCTCATAGAGGAAAGCGTGGTTTGCCAACAAAATGCTTTTTCTTGATTGAATGTTTAAAAACTGAAAACACACTACTGATCGAACACGGTCTTGTGAGCATGTTCGGAGACACTTCCGGCCCACAACCACAGATTGGCTACCACTGACGTAATGCTGTCTGTGCTCCAATGATAGCAAACAGTTCAATGTATTAACTACTTTTTAAGGATGGATTAAAATATTGTGGTCTACAAAACATCAGGGCTTTGCGCTAGTATTTTCTCTCCTCTCCTGGAGTAACTGACTTTTGCTAGGATACAGTTCAACTGGCTCTAAAGCATTCTTCATAAATAATAATAATCCTTGCATTTGATATAGAGCTTTTCACGTCTTCTGGACGTCTCAAAGCGCTTCGCAGAATATACTGGAATTAACTGTATATTTGTGGGCGAAACGCGGCAGCCAATTGCGCACAGTAGAGTCCCACAGTCGTGAATTGAGTGACCAAATTATCATTATTATTATATATTTTTTGAAGGATTATTAAGGTTATTTTCCACCGCAGATCTCGACAATATCACAATAATGTGCGTCCTCTCACCATTCCCATTGTTCTCCCTGATTTGGGAAAGACTGACATTAATAATTATAATATGATCTTATTATTATATATTAATAATAATTATTATAATGAACACAGATAGTGGCTTTTTTGAGGAGGGGTAGGCATTAATTTAACCATAGAACTGAGGCTAGCGGGTATTTTCCAATGAGGCATGAGGGTTCCAGCTTTCCTGCTCTTTGCTTCACAATGAGTTTACACCAATCCAAACATATCTATTCTTTTTCCGAAGGTAGTGCAGCATTCTATCCAGGCTCCATAATGGAAGGCTTGAATAATACTTAGTTTAATATAACGCCTTTCCCATCAGAAGGATGTCTCAAAGTGCTGCACAGGATTTACTGTAAAATGTAGCGACTATGTTTCGTAGGCAATTTCCACACATCAATGTCCCACAAACAGCAATGAAGGGAATGGCCAATCTTATTTGGGGGATTGTTGGACAGGACACCGGGCCTCTTTTTTTTTTGAATGGCGTCACAGGATTTTTAAAGTCCACCAGAACACAATCTCAGTTTAATGTCTCATTGTTGGCACCTCCAACAACGCAGCAGCACTGCACTGGATTGCCGGCCGAGACTACAACACTTCAAAGCCTCTTCTGATTCAGAGAACTGTTGGAAAGTGATCCAATACTATCCTCGACTCTTCCCCAATCTTACTGAGAGGTATGGGGAGAGGTTTACCTTTTCACAAGATAGCCAAGTTCAAGGAAAGAGGAAATCCCTCATTGAGGTTAAGTCGATTGACTCCACTCTGTACCTGTGGGTTAAAACTATGTCTGGTTTGTGTTGGAATCTATTAGGGATGCCATCATTTGAAAACTCAGTACTGTTGGGAGTTATTTGAAGAAACTAAAAACAAAGTTAGTGTATGAATCAATTCCTTTTTTACTAACAAAAGCTTTAAGCAATTCATGTTAAACCAGGGTCAAACTGTTGCAATGGTGAGTAGTAGAGAGCGTGTGATACAAGACCCCACTTGAGAGTGTTGGAGTGTTTGCATGTATGTTAGTGTGCAATGCGATTGTTGGGAGTAAAAATAGGAGATCTGTAACAAGTCGAAAATAGTAAATGCTGCCAGTGATCAGCTGCGCAGCAGAGACCTGAAGGTGCTCCCCTCCAGCATATCCAGAAATACTGTCCCAGACTGAGCAGTATATTTTAGACTGCTTTGGCAGTGATTGGCAGCCAAATTTTCAGTATAAGGGGGGATTCCAATAGCGCAAATCGTGCCAGCAGTCAGGTGCAACGCAATTGCACTGGGTTCTCTTTGACCCAACTATTTCTTGACATTAGTAAACTGCAGGTTGGTCAACACTTAAAACAGTGCTAAATAGCCAAACTCCAAACATTGATGTCCTGTGCATGTATCAAAGCAAACAATATCAAAAAAAATTTCCCTGGCCACAATTCTGTATTCTTCTCCATCGCTGGTACTGCTCAGAATAAAGCAGTTTCGCTCAGTATTTGAGACATAATCTTTTCCGGGACGCCTTTGACGGAACTAAGTTGTTCTCTGAAAGTTCAAATAATACATCTCATGGTTATACACCTGTAGCACCTGCTGTATTGGAAAAGCGCTGAAGAGTTACACAGCCCATTAATAATATGACACTGGAAGACAGTGAGAGAGGCAACAGCTGCAGTAGCTCACAACATCGAGCAATGTTACCTTACACACTTGGGTATAAAAAACAAGTGTAAACACCCCGAGCTCCAGTCATTGTCAAGACTAATGGAGTAATGGTAGCCAAACAGAGTTCAAAGAAAAGATTGGCTAGGCACTTCTCTATGACACCTCGAACCATTACAGTGTATTGGAGTGTCAGCCTGGAAAGAATTAAATGTCCATGGAGCTTGAACCACGAACCTTCTGACTCAGAGGCAAGAGTTCTACTAACTGAGCCAGGCTGACACCTAAATACTGTAAGTTCTGTAACATCGCCCGACTCCACCACTACCTCACCCTCAGGCCGCTGAATCTCTTGTTCATGCTTTCATCACATCCAGGCTCGACTATGCAAACCCCCTGCTTGTCGGCCTTCCCAACTCCTCCCTCCACAGGCTGCAGATAATCCAGAACTCTGCAGCCCGTGTCCTCTCCCGCACCAAACTCCGTGACCCCATCTCCCCAATTCTCGCCCGACTCCATTGGCTCCCTATCCTTCAGAGAATCCAGTTCAAGATCTTGGTCCTCACCTAAAGCCCTCCATGGCCTCGCCCCACCTCTGTGACCTCCTATCCCCCTATCGACCTGCCCACTCCCTCCGCTCAGCCGGCTCCAGCCTGCTCCACGTCCCCCGCCCCACCATTGACGGGAGAGCCTTCAGCCACTCTATCCCCAACCGCTGGAATTCAATCCCCCAATCACTCCGCCTCACCCCCTCTTTAGCCTCCTTCAAGTCACGCCTCAAGACCCTCCTCTTCGACCATGCCATTGGCCACCCCGCTTCCCCTCCCCTTGGGTTTGAAATGCTGTACGATGTCCAGTGCCTTGGGAGGTCCTCCCGACGTGAAAAGCGCTATACAAATGTAATCTTGTTTGTTGTACAGATGAATGAAATGATGGATATTGCAGAGTTTGAATTTGCTTACTTCTTATGGTCAAGTAATAGGTGTTTTTTTTATTTCTTCCATCTTGCCTGCCCGTGGCTGTTTTTCTCTCAAGCATGTTAGAAGAGTTCAAACAGATAACAGCTTGCACAAATGGCTCTTTCCTTATGTTTTTAAGTACAGTCAAAACAATTTGGAGTTTGAATAATGACCAAACCAGACAGGCTTGAGTGGATAGAAGTTTATTATGAAAGTAATCCAAAAGAAAAATGCTTTAGATTCAACAAAAGGTAGCAAAGGCTATTCTGATAAATCAAAGCAACCCCTTAGGGGGAGGTACTGTAAAAAAGATGCAATTCTTTCTACTTAAATACAGAATGGAAAAATATCTCATTAACATCGCATCAATAACTTAAAACCAGTAACGTAAAAAGTTTTGAAAACCTTGCACTGAATAGTAGAAAGCAGAACATCCCATCTTAATGCCAGCATTAAGATTTTTTTTAAAGCAATGCAGAGCAGGGAAATAGCCCACAGGGCCACAAACCAATTTTAGGTACTTGCAAAGCACCTGTCAGGTCCAGTGCAGACTCACGGCACACCCTGGCAGGGGCAGAGTACACTCAGAACTTGGTCAATCTGAACATGTCCAGCACAATACAATTCAAACTGCAGACAGTGCATGCAGGCAACACAGATCACACCCCCAAATTCAGGATGAAACTTTTTATGTGACAGAAATGTATGAAAAAGCACAATAGTATGCTGTTTTGCGGCTTTTAAAAAAAATTATCGTGAAAGTCACTGATGTTTCCTTAAAATTTCTGTGCACATCAATTAATTGATTTCAAAAGGTGCATTGATGAAAATCACCATTCTAGGTGGGTTTTTCGGGTAGGTGGCAATTGAAATTGGTAAAAAGCACCAAGTTCAAACACAGTCTCCGTTAAAGACTTTTCTGCACTAGCACTCCTTACAATATTTATACATTGCAGCTTCCATTTCAGAATATATTTCACCTTTCAACACTACACCACACTTTAAACCCTGCACTAACACAGCTTTTGTCTCATAATCCTTTGTGGGCCTGATGCATTTACCTTTGCTGGCCACCTGCTCTACACTGCTCATTTCTTTTCAGTTTCCTCCAGTAATTTAAACTGAAACAATTTGTTATGCGGCTATGTCTTTAGAGAATATAAAATAAGAGCTAGAAACTGCTAAATGGGAAACAATACATTCCCTCAGTGCTTAAGAAAAGCAAAAGCAAGCAGATAATCTCCAGCAGCCCAGAGTTTAATTTAAAGAAAAGGCAGAAAGTGGAAACTCCTGATTTCCTACCACTTAGCAAAAAGAAATCCTTATCCAACTGAAATATATATTGACCTAATGTTTTGATGAGATTTCCTGCACTGTTCTTGTATCACACAACAGGGGAAAGACAAGTTTAATACATAAAAGGGAATTTTACACAAAAATTGGTAAAATATTGCCAATAACAGAATAAAAAAAGGCTTGCATAGAAAACAACGTCACACAAATTGCTACTGGCTACATGCATACAACAGGAAATGCAGGTACTGTAACATGGACATAGTGCAATCCCTGGCAGTTTGTACTGGACGGGGCAGCCACAGGCCAGGGGCTGTGGGGACAGGACAAAGATATCTTGATCAGGACCAAAGCACCTCCAGCCATATCTACTCCAGTCTCCCAAAAAGCTGCTTGATCTCCCGCACACAGACCCACAGCGAGGCCGCTCCCAGCACGCTAGCGTAGTTTGAGTTCATCTCCGCTCCCCAGGTTGGAGCCGGGACTGGGGTCCTGCTGCCTGCGTGCCTATGAAGGAAAAACTATTGTTGAACAGCAAAGAAAGGAGACATGACCTAAAGAAAATATGCAGGTTTTACAGTTTAAGTGGGACTGAATGTATAATAAAAATAATAATCCTTGCATTTGGTTTAGTGCCCTATCACGTTGTTGAGACATCTCAAAGCACTTCACAGAATATACTGTAAAGTGAATTGACTGTATATTTTATGGATGAAACCCAATTGCACAGAGCAGTGATTCACAAACAGTAGTAGATCACGTAATCAAATTATTATTAGTTTTTTAAAAAGGGGATTATTACCCCCTGGAAAGGTGAGTAATAATCCCTTATATTTGCTGATTGTGTAAACATTTATTAAGATAAATACTTTAATTAAATTCTCCTTCATGGTTTGGAACCATCCCATTGTGATACACTTGCCTCCAAGTCAGAAGGTTGTGGGTTCAAGTCGTATGCCAGGACTTTGAATTAGTAGTCTAAGCTGAAACTCTAATGCAGTGCTGGGCGTGTGCTGCATTGTTGGAGAAGCCGTCCTTTGGATGAGAAGTTAAAACAAGGTCCCATCTGTCTGTTCAAAGTTGCTTGCAGGATACTGCTGTTCACAAACTAACGGTTTTGTTTGCCTACGAAATACAGTCACTACACTTTACAATAACTCCTGTGAAGCGTTTCAAGACATTGTCCTCATGTGAAAGGCACTGTGTCAAATCAAGGCTTTCTTTTATTCCCTCACGCTGTCCAAGCTTCAATTTATAAACAAAGTGATAAGGCGCTATATCAAATGCAAGGAGTATTATTATTCTTCATGCACCAAACAAACCTCATTTCAAATCCGAATATTTAGCTGCCAAAACCCTTCCTCTTCACGTTTAATTAAGGCTTCTAGAATATCTATCTACAGATGATCTTGGCTGATTGTTACCCACTTGTTTTCAAGTTTTTAAATTCCTCATGTCAGGTTACAGGACACCGGCCAATAAATTGTAAACTGCAATTTCTGGAAGAAACACTGGATGGTGCTAAAAACAATATCAGAGTCTCTGGAAGCTGCAGACACCAAGTCAGGTTACGTCGCAGCCATAAATTGTTTTTACTAAAGTACAAACAGCCACAACATACAACTGAATTTGAGAAAATGTTTAGTTGATAATCAATTCCAACTAAAATGTTTTATTTGAAAAATGGCAAATTTATGCTTTATTCCGGTCACATAACCGTTTTAGTGCCAGTAATTTAAACTGTTCTGATCTCCACATGCTTCGGTCTGCTCTGTCAAACAAAATCTCAACCCCATGAGGTATTGTAGCAACAACCCCCAACAATTCACTCCCCAAGTCATTAAGGGTGGGAGTGAGCCGCACCTTCCAATTGTTGCAGTGGAAGAAAAGATTCTCTCCTTTCACACATAATGTAATTTAGCATATCACACACACCAGCTATAATATAGCCTCAAGTTTTCAAATGGCTATATTCTTCATGGCTGATTGGTGCAATCGTGTCTTTAAATTTGAAGATTTCTGCTAATGAAGTATCACAGTTCAGTAGGATATAGTGCAAATCAAAAGAAGTCATTTAATTGCTGAATCAACAATTAGCCAGGCACCATGTGAAGCGCTCTGCACAAAACTCAGGAAGGTGGTAGTTGCCTCTTAAGGGTGAGCACCAAATGATGTTGAGAATTAGGGTGTTGGCGTGTGGAAAACCATGGAATTGGACAGTTTTTCTTTCGAAAACTTGGCAGGGTCTGTAGATTGTGAAAGGGATTAACAACTCTGATTATATGCAAACATTCACTAGAATGAACAATGAATCAATTTCATCTCCACCCAACACCAAGGTCTAATCTATGTGAAGCGAAATTCCATCACTCTTTAATTCAACTCTATAGTTACCTAAAAATCAATGTTTGCTACATTCGTGAGGAGCTTTACTCATCACATAAAAAGAAATGGCACTTGATATAAAACTATTTATTTTAACTGAAATAAACCCAAATTTCCAAGAATCATGAGGTTATTGAGGTGAGTAATGGGCAATGTTTAATATATTCAACACAGGATGTTGTCTAGCATATCAGAGGGCTATTGTATATACAGCAGAGCTTTTGCAGGCCGAAGGACTAATCTATACAAGATGCATGTTTTTGAGAAACCTGGCACTACAATCCCTGTAGGGGGTGGTGGGTGGGGTTGGTGGAGTAAAGGCAGTTATTTCGGTTACACAAAGGGAATGAACTGTAATCTGTTCTCCATTAAAGTCATTTCATATAAGGAAACATTTTAATTTTCTACTTTAAACAGTCTTTAAAAACAGAAGAGAGTGTGTTCTGCCAGGAAAAGCAGCCACTGTATAATACCGGATCATTTACCCAGTAACTGATAGATCAAGTGCAGCTGGGTTAACTTCATTTTTTCTTCAAAATGTGTGCAAGCATTTATCTATTTAAAAAGGGATAGGTTCCTAGCAATAGGTTTGTCCTTTATGGGCAAAGCAGCCTGCATCTTGCATCCAAGTGGACGTTTACAGGAGCACAAAGCAGACTCAGAATTGATAGAAATTTGAGCTTCAAACAGGAGGCATCGAACACTAAATAGACAAATACAGGTAGGATTAACAAAAAAGTTTATGCTTCCAATCAACAGCTGCTAGGAATTCAGCAGCAGCAGGAGTTTACCAGGTACCAGAGACCTGCTCAGATTGAAATTCTAATCGATGTGCACTTATTTAATTAGACATGGTACTTTGAGAAAAAAAGAAAACTTCTTACGTATTTACAATTAAATAATATCAGCCTGGACTGAGCTCAAAGTCGCAACATGGGGGCTCGATCTACAACCTTTACTGTCAATGAAGATTAACCAACTGCTTACTTCCTACACAAAAAATAAGCATTTTTAAAACTGAGATTGGTCAAGTCTACACAGTGACACTCCTATTGCTGTGCAGCTCCTTCCTACAAACATTTATTCGAATTTCCAATTCAATTTCGTCAAACACAATCACACCCACCCAAATATCCCATCCCTCAAGAAACTAACAAAAAGGGTCCTAACCTCTCACCTCCATGTCATCTCGATGGGACCGGTCTCGGTCTTCAAAATCCCTGGCTCTCCGTCGAACATCCTCATATGCCTGCTGAGCTAAGGTATCCTCCTGCTGCAACAATAATAATAATATTCCTTGCATTTGATATAGGGCTTTTCATGTCTTCTAGACGTCTCAAAGCGCTTCACAGAATAGACTGGAAAGTGAATTGACTGTATATTTGAGGGCGAAATGCGGCAGCCAATTGCGCACAGCAATGTCCCACAAACAGTCGTAATTTGAAGTGACCAATTTATTATTGTTTTATTTTCTTGAGGAATTATCATCAGGAGTGTGGAGTAAGGAAACTTGTCCAAGGTTTCACCCTGCTGGGAATCAAACCCAGATCCCTCGCTTGCAAAGCAAGTACTCTAACCTCTGAGCTACAGGACTCCAAAGAATATAAACAGGTTTGGATAAAACAGGAATAAAAACAGAAGTCGCTGGGTACACTCAGCAGGTCAGGCAGCATCTATGGAGGGAGGAAAGTGACTTAACGTTTCATGTCGATGACCTTTGGTCAGAACATTAACTCACTTTCCTCTCTCATAGACGCTGCCTGCCCTTCTGAGTGTTCCAAGCGACTTCTGCTTTTATCTCAGATTTTTTTTTAGCATCTGCAGTATTTTGCCTTTTGGATAAAGCAGGAACAGTTCTAACAAAAAAAATCACACCCAGGGTCTCAAAACTTCAATTTCTCTTTGTGAGTTTTCCACATGCTGCAACAAAGAAGCAAACCAGATTCAGAACACAGCAGTAGCGTGTCAGTGCTGGACTGCTCCTACATTTAAAATGTTCCTCCCCTTACAGCACCATTCCCTTTGGAATATGAAGTGCCCATGTTTTTTGTACAGTAACAGTCGCGTGACGAACCACACAGAATTTGCAAAAAAAAGAAACCATTTTACCGCACTGAAAAATGGTAGGTAGCATTTCTAAATAATTTCTACCCTTTAAGCAGTTCTTTTCTTTTGGTCAGCCAAGTGTCTGACACATACGAAAGCCCATCATTATGCTTAACTCGCTTACCTAATTCTGGAGGGTATTACGTACAAGTTGGCAAGAGCCAAGGCTTGGGGAACCCAGTGTGAGTTGGGGTACTGCTAGAGTTTAACCAGCCCTAACTGCATAGCTTGCCATTAAAAACACTGTTTAGAAATCTTCCTGTTGCTTATCCAGCTACACCCAGTGTAAACTTTAAGGCTGCAGGAGCTGACTGAGTATATCCCCTGCTCCCAGTGACTGGCCTGCCAATGAGCCAGCTCTGTGATCAGCAGTGCCTTGGACTCGTGTGGACCTGCCTGGCTCAGGAACTAGACTACTGAGACTGCCACAAAGGACTGACTTAATTCTGACATTCCATTGCCTAAGCATGTCACCTTGAAGCCAGCTCAGCTCCAATGGCGATCCTGCATACCTTCGCCACCCCCAAGGAGATAGCCACTTGTTGGTCATTTGACAAGCACTGTTTCGAGTCTTCAATCGGTTGATAGCAGCAACCAGAAAGTTACTGAGACGTTCATGAATTCCCAACTGGAACATTAATAGAAATGCCTGGCACATTCTGTACTAAAGATCCCTATTCCACAAAAGATGGAGAAACAATTCATGCCATCCTTCCACAAGCAATCCAATGCCGGACTGGAACTTAAGTTCCTTAAAAGACTGCAGTGTTGTTGATTGATCACTAAACTCTTTGCATTTGATATAGCGCCTTTCAGCTCAGAAGGATGACCCAAAATGCTTTGCAGGCCTACTATAAAGTGGAACCACTGTATTTGTGAGTGAACAGAATTATCATTTTCTAGCTCCATCTCTTCCAGACCGAAGCTTGATCCCTAGTTAATTGACAATCAACTAAAGGCTTGAAATCCAGTGAGTTCTCATCCAAACTTTCTGTAGTATTTGGCACAATAAACCAGTCAATATATAGGCTTCCTAAAGGCAAAAATCTACAGATCACAAGAAAAATCCAGACCCATTTATTTGTGGGTTTCACTTCTCAGATATAAAATTACATCATGTCTGTAATTATATCCCTCTCTGTGGAAGTAAAATACATGCAACAAAAATTAAACAGCTTCATTATGGTCTGAATCAATTCAGAGTTAAGAGGCAAGACCACTGCAGTTCATTCCATCCAAGAGTTAGTAAAGACCTGTACGAATAAGAAACGAAATACAAATTGGGACAATTTTCTACAGATGCGGGTACCACTGCAGGAGACACGCTGCTGATTATCAGGTCACTGAACCAGAATCTCTTACATTTCACCATTGTGAAAGCAATGCACCAATTTCTTATTAGTTATGGATGGTTTGGCAGAATCTCTGAAGTAACAGAAAATTGACTTTTCTGCCTGAGGCATCTGACTTCCTACAGTGAGTTCCAAAAGAAAGGCACTTCCCCAAGGCTTAGAATCTTCCACTCTCGTAACTGACTGCATTAAGTCAGCAGAAATTGGTTGAGGAAGTACATTCTCTCCATTTATTGAGTAGAGGCATTCTTCCCATCACTGCAGAATAGCGAAATAACAAAGGCATCTAAACGAGGAAGAATTAAATATCAAGACAAGCATGCAGGCTAAGAAAAAAATATTGGTCCAATAGGAAAAACTATTTATCCAATAAAGATAATTTCTGAAGCAAAGCTACATATACATCTTCTGAAAACAAAGGTTATCGAGCTGCTTCATGCTCCCCGAAGCTGTGAAAATCCAGTCCAGTCCCTGTGTCAGGCAACTTAGTATTGTTTCTTCAATAGTCTGACAGCTATTCCTGCAAGTGGATCCATGTTGCTAATGATACAGAAGCTATACTCTTCTTATATTCTGACCTTCAGAGTTGCATACCACACGCTATTTATGCCATTTACTCTTGGACCTCACAATGTCTTGCACCACGCTACTAAATTCTCTTCAAGTCCCTCCACATTTCTCTCCACCCCTACCACTGCTACCTTCAACCCTACCAACCCCACACCTTCTTTCACTGGCAAGCATCACCCTGCGTTATGTCCCCTGCCCTATTCACATCACTACCAATAGCTGGGATTTCAAACATTCAACCCCGACTCTCTAGATCTCCATCCTGGAGTCCCTCAGACTCGCTCCCTCACCTTGTTCAATGTCAGTCTGAAGATATACTGCTAACTATGGGTTTGATCATCTTTCCTTTCCCCCTTCGAATTCCACCCACACCTTGGGTGCCTAGCCAACTGTGTTAAGCTCTTCGAGATGTCCTCTCGACATGAAAGGCACTCTATACATGTAAAATTGTATTGTATTAAATCACAATTATAAATAACTTTACAGATGCATGGTTGACTTCATTTTCTTGCATGCTTTCCCTCTGCCATGAAACCAGTATTCAATAACTCAATCTCAAAGCGTTTATGCACGCAAAAGATTAAATATTATGCTTAATTAGTGAGAGACTGACGTGGTGCTCATGAATTAACAGAATGGTGTAACAGGGCCCTTCCTGTGGTACATTTTTGCGTTGGAAGAGGGAAAAGAGGAAGAGGAAACAAAGAGGAAACTGAACAGTAATTAATAAAAATACATGCATGCTCAATCTTGCAGATTGGGGTCTTGGTTGTATTACTGCATATTGAGGAATTAAATCAGATTAGCCTCTGTCACTTTTCTTGCTTACCTGTGCACGTTCCTCATCAAATTCCAGGAATCCCATGCCATCAAGTCGCTGGAGGTCAATCCAGCCCTTCCAGATCACACAGACTCCATTGAGAATCATAGGGGCCTTTAAGTACACCTATAAGAGAACGAAACTGTGAATTCCAGGTTACTATTGTGGGCTACCAGTAGCATCAATCTCAAAACACAAAGCCACACATTATTCAAATTAGAGCAGTGGTAATTTATTTTATAGCAGATTTGTAATTTATTTTATAGCCTATGGATTACTGAAATTACAAAACATCCAAAGAAATCCTCATTTTTAAAACTAACACAAAATTTGATAGTCACATTGCAAATCCCAAGACTGCTAGGATTGATATTGCAGTATTTCATGTCAACGTGCATTTTTCTAATGGTGAGGTATGGTAAAGTGAAGCTGACTATACAACTTGTAAGAACTATAGGTGAATAATATTCTACCTCAAGTAGTGCCATTTTATTGTGGCCTGTAGCATATACAGTATAACATTAGACAAAGGAAGATTTTTATTCATAACAGTATTCCTTAGAACTGATTCACAGGTGTTCCATATCTAGCTTCTAGTTTCAGCTCCGTGAGCTTTTATGTAAACTATTATGGGTCCACCAGAGACTTTAAGTCTTCCAATGATTCTCAGCCTCTCCCCCACTTTGTCTCCCCTCCTCGTCTCTCCTCCTTCCCCACCTCCCCAGCCATGGTTGCTCCAGAGTAGGCCTCCCTGCCCTAGTCTAGAATGAAGTAAACAACATCAGTGGGGTGTAATCTGTTGATCAGTAACAGCAGCGCAAAAAATACTACAATTTACTGACAGACTATATACCACAACTGCTAATCAAGAAGCGAGACTGCTGGGAATAGGAGCTAAAAGACCACCACCTCCTGTTCCTTCACAATCGGACAGGATACAGAGCATTTTCCTTTGGTTACATACAAGTTTTCCAGTTCTTGGAGCTACAAAATACTTAATAAATCAATCATTTTAAGCCAATTGTTCTTAAAAATCCATATTGATATTTTGAGTGACAAGTTTGGTTCAGAGTGTAGAAAGTTTTTTTAAGGCAGATCTGTACTGTTTGGGATCAGCATGGTTGGGAAGCCTTTTAATGATCCCATGTGCATTATATAAAGAATCTCTCATACATTACTCTTTCCACAAAAAGTGATGTTGCTGGTCTTTGACTCAAATTGGCTATTTATATAGAGTAGGTGTGTTTCTAAAGACTGATGTGGCCTTTTCCAATCGTTATGCAAAATGCAACATTTGAGAAGCAGCACTTCAGAACCTCCCTATGATAGTTCTTACTTCACTTGTGCTTTGCTACATTAAGGTTCGCTCGGTCCCCTTGCATATCCTCTAATCTGACACTTCAAATCAGTGCTGGCGGAGCACTGCTGCATATTCAAGTGACATGAGAGAACCCATGCTATTATTCAAAAAGAGAAGGGATTTTCTCCAGATGAGTGTCCCAGCCAACAATATTCCAGATCAAAATCTACATTTACTGTAATCAATGGTGACACTCCAATCCCCTGGTTGCAGTTGGAATGGTTACGGTACTGCAGCTGCTCTTGAAATTTCATTCACTCTTTCGCTGAATGGGATTTTGATGCTCCCAGACTGTCAGTCTGCAAACTGAAGCTTACCAGGCGCCAGAGAGCCCTCCACAAGCTGCAACTTCACAGCACAGGCCAGATCTGTACACCCTCTCAAAGTCTTCATCAGCTTGCACCGCGCTCAATGTTACATTTGCAATATTACAACAACAGAATTACATTTATAGAGCGCCTTTCATGTTGGGAGGACGTCATTGCCAAGAACTCATATGTGAAGTGTATGCAGACAACAAAATGCATGGATATATTAAGAACAGCAAACCATAAACTGTCTGATCCAATGGGTTAGAATAAAGTGTTTGAAGCAATTTTGTACATATTGCCACTTCAATGACAAAATACAAGGAAGATAATAAATTAAAAATAAATTAAAGGCTTGATTCATAATTATGAGGGAAGTTTTCTTCAATCTTGAACAGTCATATTTACTGACACTTTTTCACAATCACATTCAATTTTATTTATTTTTTGTCATTCAAGTATCTGATACATGCGGAGACCCAGCATCATGCTTAAGAGTACCTGTAGTGTCAACTTGACTCAGTTGGTACTACTCTCACCTCTGAGAGTCAGAAGGTTGTGGGTTGAAGTTCCACGTCACTATGCATTACAGTAAATTCCGTGAAGTGATTTGAGGCGTCCTCCCAATGTGAAAGGTACTAGTGAAATGATCAAATGAAATGATCATTATTTTATTATACAATGTTGATTATGGATATAGTTGGCCACTGTAAGATCGATTATTCAATCGCAGTTTCATTGAAGTAATGGTGGGTTATTTGTGTCACAAAACTAAAATCTATACATTTATCACTGTGGGAAGCAGTCTGCAGTATTCTGGGGATAAATTACTTAATCAAGTGGTTTGGGGATGCAGAACATGTAAAATGTCTGCCCATTGTCATCCAGGAAAAGACTTCATTAACATGGGATTAAGTAAGACCTGGGAAAGGAGTTTTTCATCAGTGTCTCAAGTTGTTGAGGATTGAGCTTTTGAAGGACTTTGGACAAAGTTCTCACAAGTGCTTTGCAATATTAAGGGTCTGCATGAAAGTGGAAGCCTTGTGGGTACGAGCCTCAAATGAGCCAAGCATGCAAATATCTTGCTAGGCTGGTTGGTTAATTCATCCAATTCACATTTTGAGGCATATTAATGTAGATAGTTGAAGTCAAAAAATAACTATCAGCTTCAGGATGGAGGGGGTGTGCAAGGTCTCCTGGGAGCTGATCTGGCTCCAAAGTGACTTGCTTGGCAATGGAATTCAAGTCTGCATTGAAGTTGCAATTATGTGGAACCAAAGCACAATACCTTTGGAAACCATGTATTTATCATCGAAAGGAATATGTTGGAATATGTCACGGTTCCCATCGAGGCTTGTGCCAATGCCACACATGCTCTGCGGGCTTTGGTTTTAATCTGAAATATAAGAGGCAGGATTTGCTCTTGGACAGATCCAAGATTGAGGCTCTCGGTTATCCATAGTTAAGACTAATTTTCAGTTCTTACTCAGTCCCTGCCAGTTGGTGGATAACTTGCAGTAAATGACACTGGATAAATAGTTAAATTACTGTAAGGAGTATGGAGTACAGATGTCAATAAACTTTGCAAGCTCTAATCTCAAAGCTTTCCTGCTGCCTAATGCACTGTTCACGTGTTCTCACTATTGTGTCTGTGAGAAGGAGTGGTTGAATATTTTTTTAAAAAACAGTGCAGTCAAATAAATTGCCAGTCAAAGCCCCTCTCTGGAGATATACTTCATTAAAGGTGGTTTAATTGTGAAGTCCTCCAGGATGTCACCTGACCCACATTTCGGTCCTCATAACTTCCTGTCAGCTGTCTTTTTTACTGCCTTTAAAATCTCAGGGTGTTGTTATTTCTTTTTAAAACTACATTCTATAAGCAAAATGCAAACAATGTTGCTTTGATTATTTGGTCCATCCGAGTCCATTTAACCTGGACCTTACATATAAACACCTCAATTATTTTGCCCCACCAGGCAATCAATCTAGCCACATTAGTGCAATCAATCATATTAAAAGAACCATGGGTCTAATTGGAAAGCGGGAAACATCAGTCTGTGCAGCAAAAAAAACGTTAAACCGCACACTTCCTCTTCAGCAGCACACTCAGTCTCACTCCTCCATCCCCCAAAAGAACCTACCACAGACAGCAACTAGCTTGTACTTCCCTTCCCCTATAAACATATTATCCCCCACCAACCTCTCATTATGTCCATTACTGTGCATCAAGTCAACAAAAAACAGCAATGCAGAAAAGGACAATTCTTCCAACAGTTGCTCACACTACATGTCATGATACATGGAAGAACTAAGACTAACAACTTTCACTTCTGTAGTCAAAAGTATTACTTGAGGAAATGGAAGTTCAAAGAACCAGGGATATAAAGTGGATGTGATTAATATTGTGTATTTCAGATAAAGTGTCCTATTAAGATTGACATCAGGTGACATACAACTACAAGGAAGGAAAAGAGTTGGCATTCCATGTATAATTGTAATCAATGCAATGTGTCAGTCTGGCTCAGTGGTAGCACTCTCACCTTGAGTCAGAAGGTTATGGGTTGAAACCCTAAGCTAGGGCTTGAACTAACATAGTCTAACCTATAACTCACCAATGCAGTGCGGGGGGAGGGGGTTGTATTGTCAGAGGTGCCAACCTCCGGGTGAGACATTAAACTGAGGTCCTGTCTGCCTGTTTAAGTGGACATGATAGATACCAAGGCACTAATAATTTAGTATTTGAAAAGACAAGAGAGTTTCTCCCAGTCTCCTGGTCAACAATCCCTCAAATAAAAAATTGGTCATTTATTCCATGGCTGTTTGTGGGACAATGCTGTGCACAAGCTGTATGCCTGGTTCGCTCTACAAATAGTCACTCACTTCACAGTAAATCCTATTTAGCACCTTGGGACATCTTTCCAATATGAAAGGCACTATACCAAATGCAAGAATTATTAATATATTTTATAACTTCCTTATAGAAAAGGTTGATGGAATACTAGCTACCCGAGTAATTTCTAAGGCAAACATAAATGACCAAATATGAGATGCCAATAAAATGATGCAACCTGATAATTTCATATAGTACCTTTCACATTGAGAGTACAGCTGAAAGCGCTTTACAGGATGTATAGTGACTGGATTTTATGGGCAAATGTGGTAGCCGATCTGCACAAAGCAAAGTGTCATAAACATGCTCAAAGTGAATGACCAATATTATCTGGGGAATTGTTGGCCAGGGTATTTTCACGTACAATGTCATGGGATCTTTAATGTCCACCTGAACAGATAGATGCAATCTTTGTTTATGTCTCATCTGAAGAACATAATTTCCAACAATGCAACACTACCCCAACTATACTGGAATTTCAGTGTGTACTATGAGACATGGGGCTTGAACCCACAACCTCTGGTTCAGAGGCAAGAGTGCCTTCAACTGAGATATGATGGCAACAATT